TTTTGTTGAGGTTTTTGGTCTTTTTTGCACTCAATTATACCTTGTAACAATAATATGAAGTCATGTGATCTCATAAAGTGTCAATAGCATTCATACTGTACATCCCTTTGTAATATTTTACAATGATTTTTATTTAACTTTACAATTATTTTAAAATGTTTCTTCATATAGAAAATATATATTTTGTTTAGGAGGATCAAAACAACAAATGTTCACTAAGAATATACTGAAAAACAACAAATGAAAATATTTATACCAAAATAACCAAAAGTGATTCAACTATTAAAAATATCCTGTTAGACTCTACTCAGCAGTTTGCACAAGGGTCCTTTTGTGTTGCTCTACTGAATAATAATTAGACAAATACAAAGAGAACTAATTTTAAGGTTAAAAAAATAAATTTCAGAAATTCTCCCTGCCCAAATCCTGCAGTAGGAAATGCAATTACAACATATATCTCTTCCAGAACAAAAAAAGTCTTTGCATAAAATAACTTTGGTACATAATTGGCGCAAAGTCAAAATCTCCTACAAAATAAATTCAGGTATCCTCAAGAATGAGATGGAATAGTATTGGTCCGAGATAAGATACTTATAAGAGGTAAAGGCAAGTAAGCTATTTGCTATCCCTCATGTGATAAATTATTGTCCTAAGGTGCAAATCTCATGACTCAGTGACCTATACACTGCTTTGCTGTTTATATCTTTTTAAATAAAAACCATACAGGTTATATTATACATGTGAAAATCAAATATGAACGCACATATGTTTAAACGAGACCACTTAAATTACAATGTGGAAATCTCAGGATACTATTTGGTCCTTTCAGTTAGATGCTGATACATTTGGTCAAGAATATGCACATTCATATCAGCTTAAGGCAAAAGCTAAATGTTTGAATTGTGATTTAAGCAGAAACAAAACAGTATACATCGCTACCTGATACTTCTGGAATGCTCCCCGTGAGAACTTACTCTGATAACAGAAGAGTCCTCATCAGGGTGATAACTTTAATGATGAAATAGAAATCTACAGGTAACAGTCTATATAGCTTGAAGGAGTAGAAAACCTGGTGGCTGACTGTCCTTCGGTGCATCTATACTGATCTAGAACATTCTCTGAGTCTCTCCCAGCGGACTTGCTGTGAAGTCCTGGCCCCTCCCCAGGACCCCGACCTATGACATGGTGCAGTCCTCTTTGTTTCTGCCCTTCCCGGTCCCACCTGTCTTCTCTTCCTTGCTTTCTGAATTAAAGTCCCCCGCCTCATCTGCTGCTGCCAGGCCATTGTTTTCTAGATGAACACTGTCTGAAAACTCTCTGACTGTCTGATCTAGACTTTCTGACGTCACATGCCCTTCTGTGCCTTCTGTTTGGGAGGCATCGTTAGTGTCCTTTGCAGGACTTCCATCTTCGAGCAGGGCACTGCTGGGCACCTCTATATTTTCTGTACCTGGAGGACCGCTGGGAGCCCTGCCATCTTCCTCAGCCTCATCTTTTACAGCACCTTCGTCTAATTCTTTATTACTGGTGCTTGACGACTGAATCATATTATCTTCAAAATCCAATGTGTCTCCATCAGCCTTAGTGTTTACAGCAGCATCGTCTTGGTTAAGTTTTCCATCCAATTCAATTTTAGGATTTTCTGAACCATCACTATTTTCACTGCCCTCTGCTACACTGTTCTGTTTTGGGGTTTTAGTGACCTCGTTTTGGGCATCTACAACCGGTTTTTCATTAGTGACTTTTCCCTGTTCTTCTTTCACTTCACTTAAATCTGGGTTCTGAAATGTTAACTCTTTCTGAACATCTTTGATCTCTACAGGTGCCGGTGATTTTTTCTTCTTGTTTTTCTTTTTCTTGTTCTTTGTCTTCTTTTGCGACAAATCCAATGCCTCTCCCTGTTGGTCATTCTCCTCATTGGGGTCTTTCACATCCAGGGGTTCACTTTCATCATCTTCCACCTTTGGGTCCGTCAGCTCCTGAGGACTGCTTTCGGCTTCGGGAGAACGAGGGCTGGTTTGGACCTCTAGCTCAATTGGTTTCACCTCCCTTAAGTTCCTTCCTTCATCCTCCTCCTCCTCCTTGTTCTCCCCACCTGCCTCTGTGCTCTGAACTGGGGCCTCCCTGGGCTCAGCTAACTTCTGGTTGGCAAGTTCCTTCTCTACATCCTGCCCTGCGCTGGGGTCTGACCCCTCCGGGGCATCTACCAGGCATTTTTCATGGTGACTCCCTGGGTCATCACTACCACTTAGAGGACCTGAGGCTGCACTACCCCCCTGCTCCTCCAGCCCCGTGAGCCCTGCCTCTGGCTCAGCCTTTGTGGGGCTCCCACTCTGCTTGCTAGGGTCTGCACTGCTCTCCCGTTCAGCCTCAGAGATCTGCGGAGGAGCAGACTCCTGACATGGTTTTGTGCTCATCTCTCCCAAGGTGGTCTTCGAATCTTCCTGTTTTCCTTTTTCCCGTTCTTCAGCACATTCTTCCCTTTGATTTTCGATATCCAAAGCATTACCACTCCCCCACCCAATCCCAGGATCTGGGATTTCACCAACTAGTTCACTGTTTATGACCTCACTTGACTCAACCTGCTGGGTGTCTGCAGGGAAGGAAGCAGAATTTTCTAGAATTTGGCTTTGAACCTGTTCCTCATTCTTGGAACTGACTAATGTTCCTGGGGAGGGGGCACTGTCTTCAGAGGTTTTTTGGTCCTCGGCATTGTCACCAGGATGTAACACCTCTGTGTCCACACAGTTCTCTCCCGGGTCCTCTTTGTGCTGTCTTTGCTCAGAGTTCTGCAAGATTTCTCTTTTCCCCTCATGCTCCACCATTTCATTTTTCACCTCCACTTCATTGGCTCTTCCTAAAAGACCATTGAGAAAATTGAAGGGACCCCATGATGTGGTTGACCATACAACACAAATTACAGTGTAAACACATGTTCTCTTTCCCAGCCAACCCCGCTCCTAGAGAGAGAGAGCGCCGTCAGAGAAGCACGCGGACAGAAGCCTCTGCCAGTTCCGTGCGGCAAAGCGGCCATCGCGTGAGCAAACGCTGGGTCAGTGGAGGCCACTGCCGCCACGCTGGTGCCATGTGGGGTGCACGGGCTCTCAGAGGGGAACTTTTAACAAACAAGGAAGAGCTCCGCATCAGACAGCCCAGCCATCCAAGACGAGGGGTTTCAGAATGACTCAAGGTTCGTGGTCCCCGTTCTCATTTCTGGATGCACGAGGGAGCCACGCCCACTCTTCCCGCTGTCAAACTGCACTGCACGTCACCCGGCTCTAAGAGCAGCCTTCAGATGGCTTTCAAAAGAAACACTCAGTTCATCTGGAGAAACTCAGCCTCGAGTCCATCTCAAGGAAGCCACTTTGGAAACTGCTCATGGAGGTAAAAAGAACTCCACTCTCCGTCCCTAATCCCTGTCTTCCTGGGGAAGCAGCCTGTGCCCTTTACACCTCTGTTCCGTCCCAGAGGGACAGGGGGGGCGGGTACAGCAGGAGGCCAATGCCTCTGATCAAGAGACCACTTAATCAAACATAAACCATTCATCAATTAAAGACTTGTGAATGAAAGAATTTGTTACTGCTTGAATTGAAGAATTGCATTTTGGGTTCTCCACACAAACAACACCCCAGTGTAGGCGCTGCCATGTCACTGAAAATCACAGCTTGGTGACTTAGGACCAGCAGTCTCCAGGGAAAATGGACAGACAAGCAGGATTCCATTTACAGTCACCTTTGCTTCATCCCTTAAAAATCTCCGGTATTGTGTCGGTTTTATATTAATTAAATATTACACATAGAAATGGAAAATAAACATACATATTGGGAAGCTCCCACAATTCTTTACTATATATGATCTAAAAATATGTGCATACACAAAATGCATGTTTCTAGTTCTTTAAGTGTGTGTTACACAGCAGCTATCAAGGATTTATAAAATGTATTAGAGCAGCAGGGTGAATCCTAGCTGCTCAGGTAGGAACGTAAAGAGAGGATGGACATTCGTTATTTACTTTCTTTCAGTAACTTCAACAAGATGAAAAAAGCTGTGGTTCTTAAATAATCAGATAATGAAGCATGTTCTGGAAAGGCAGACCTGGGAAGCTGGGCCTACAGCTTTCTCCACTTCCATGGAGAACCTTCCAAATGGGAATGAAAGCCATGGTCCCTGACCTTGTCCCAGCCTCACTGTGAAAAGCTGAAACGCAACTGATCACCGGTTGCAAGGGAGGCTTTATTTGCCAGCTACAATTTCAGGCTGTCCATCAGATGCTGACCAAAGCCGAGTATTATGACAAATATTAACTGCTGAATCTACTCAGATATCTGCAAATTGTATAACATATTCCTACTATCTATTGGGTTCCTCAATTTATACTCTTTCACAAGCAAAAACATGACATACAAGGGAACATCACCTCTGCCAAATGGGCAGACACATTCAGACTCTTATTTATAAGGAAAGCTGTCCACACCGACCACACTCACACCCCAGCACTCCCTGTCCGTCTACTGTCCACAGGCACCTCAGGCTCTCAGAATGTTTAGCGGTGCACAGGACTCGCAGTATCGGCTTGCAGATACGGTCAGCTAACTCACTGTATAGCCGCTGCTATTCTGTTCTTTGGACAATTCTGTAACAGAGTTAAGTCACAACGCCATATTTGGCACATAACTGAGGAAAACCTAATAGAAATGTCAACACTGTCACTGAATTTTGAGATTATTTTCTGTGTATTCACAGTCTCACTGGTAGCTTTGAGAAGCAAAAGAAACATATTCTTAAGCCTTTGGTGGTGAGCAATGAACAGAAGTACACGCCAGACAACACACGTGGGTGGTGGCACCATGTGGTGAGGAAGTTCCCATGAAGTGACAGAACGCAGGGCATGCCGGGTGATGGTTAATCGATCAGTGATGACCACGTCAGCTCTACCAATGCATGGAGGTGGACCAGTGCTGACCGGAAGATGGGAGGGTCAAAGGAAAGCACGAACTTACCAAGGGTCCCGTCCCCTGTCGCCTGGAGGGCATTCAGCTCTTCCTTCGTCATTTTTGTGGAAGTTTGCAAGGCAATGCTGTTCAGAGTGTCTGGCATCTCTCCATTGGTAGCTATTTCTGAATTTAGTATTATTCCATGTTTCTGGGAATAAAAACAGGCTCATCGTAATACTTACTAAGTGATACACAGTTAAACTTTATTTTATAAATAGTAATTGTAAGAGACCTCACCTTTCCCTAAGCAGAGGAAAACTCTACAGAGATAGAGAATTGCTAGGCTCCACCCCTGCAAATATTCTATCAACACACACAGATCTGGGAAGTCTTCCTCCAAGGGCCCTTCTTTCTTACATGTTCCCACCCACGTCTTAATGGACTGGTGACAAAATGCTTTCATCCGGCATCCCTTTTTAACTTCAGGCGACCAGAAAGTGGAACATGAAGCACATAACCATAAAAGGGGTCTTTACCTCTAAAACCCCAGTTGTGTTCTTTAAAAGGAGACACAGAGGTAAAGAAAGAAAATGTACGTGCTCTGAAAGGAAGGGTGAAAGTCAGCTGGAATGTCTGTTGTATTCCAAAGAAATACAGTTTGTGCTCACTTGATAGCTTCCCTTGTGGCTCAGCTGGTAAAGAGTCTGCCTGCAGTGTAGGAGGCCTGGGTTCAATCCCTGGGTTGGGAGGATCCCCTGGAGAAGGGAAAAGCTACCCACTCCAGTATTCTGGCTTGGAGAATTCCATGGACTGTTCATGGGGTCGCAAAGAGTAGGACACAACTGAGTGACTTTCACACTTTCTTTCACATAGCAAAGCACTTCAAACTCAGCTGCACTTCACAGCGCCAGGATACCCGCTTCACCCCGAACCAACCCCTCCGTCCCGCCCTCCTGCCGTCTGCAGCACTTTCTCTTCTGCTTTGGAGGAATTCCCCAACCCTCCATCTGTACTCACACCCTGGTGAGGATGAGCTCTGTGACTCTGAGCTCTGAGCTTGCTGGCTTACTGTTCTGACCTCGACCTTTCATTGTAAGTAGCTGACATTGATGCTTCTGTTGGCGATGCAGGAGCCAGCCCGTGGCCACAACCCCTAGACTCAGCACCTCCTCCTACGGTGTCAAGAGTCCACCCATAGCTCTGAGCCCCGCTGCTGCCCGCTTGTTTATTTCACTCAGCGCCCAGCTGGCAGCAGAAGACCGCTAGACGTGGCCCAGACAGGACACAGAACTTCCTACAGTCCATGAGATCTCCCAGTCTGACCAGTGACACCTATACACTGTCCAGCTAGAAAGGTCCTTACAGCCCAGCCTTGATATATATATATTTATATGAAGCAAAGATCTACTCTACCTTGGAGTAATGTCCTGGAGAATTTACTGACGAGTTTGAGAAAACATTTAGACAGCTTATCAAAACAAATTCTTGGAAATCAGAATTGCCTTCAAGATCAGATATTTGTAAACACCGACAGGCAATGGACATGCCCCCACTGGATGTACAGACTTCACTTGTCTCTCTGGGGTCAGTCAACCCACGATTTGATTTTACTAACGGAACAAAAATCAACGTTATAAAATTAATGAACACCACTATCCACACACACTCATCCTTGAGGATCTTGGAGCTGCTGCTGGTGCCTGGTTTTTTTTTTTTTAATCCGTACTTTGGCTTCGTACCTTTAATTCCTCTTTCAGCATGACTACTTCTTCTCTAAGATCGTCTCGTTCACTCCTCACGGAATCAAAGAACTCTTTCTGTCTCTCTAGAGCCTGAGTGTGTAGCAGAGCAGAGAGACAGAAGACAGGCACAGGTGAGCAGATGACCTCAGAAGCAGGACTAGGAAGGAGGCTGCTATGAACACACTAAGGAAAACGCTGACATCGGCAAGGCATTCAACAGACTACACTTAAAGACACAAACGCGGCGCAAGTGTGGAGCTTTTCATGTAGTTTGCGCCAGCCAAGCAATGCCGCTGTGCATGCTCCCTGAAGAACATCAACATTTTGAAGGATGCTCTCTTTTTCACATCCTGTCCTGGCTCAGTCTGTGGTTTCACAGCATCATCAGAGAAGTAATAGAAGCACTGCACCCATTTCGATGACGGGTAAATGGAGATATGCTTATGAACCCCCAGTGACAACTGTTTTATTTAACAGCAATCTGACTATTTTTTTACGTTGATTCCCGGTGTCTGTTGTCACAGATAAGCATAGAGTGGTCCTGAAGCAAGCACAGCGCACACACAGACATGCACACAAAATCCTCGGTGAGGATGAGTGCGTCAGAGTGAAAGCAAGGCACAGCCTCACAATGTAAAGGTGCCGAGCCTTGCTCCAACGTCTAGAGATGGCCGAGAGTTGCTGTGGTCTGGAAGCTGTCTGGCATCATAGGGCAGAGCCGTTCCTTAGCTAAGTGGGCTCCTCTCTGCCCACCCAGCACTCCTGAATGCAGGTGGACTGCCTCTTTCCTTGGGGAGGGAGACACTGACACCTCCCTGGGGAGACCCGAGGTGGGGCTTCGAGGGCCACTGCCCCTGCCACCTTGCAGCCTCCTCAAAGCCGTCTGAGAAGGAGCCCAGGCGGCAGGGCGTTCCAAGAGGTCTGAGCCCCTGTGGACCCGCCGGGTGCACGTCCTCGGCCCCCTATCTCTGTGTGCCTGGCCGCTCACAGGCAGGCCGGGGCCCAGCAGTGCCGACAAAGTGGGAACCTCCCTGGCTGGAAGTCAATTTCCAATCTGGAGTTAATGTCCATTTGGGTGAGTTCGTGCAGTCTCTCTTTTATTCATTTCGTGTCACGTGGGGGAGGGGTCGTGCATGCAAACTCACACAAGCCTTTTTGGCAAACCAAAGAATCTGAAAGCGCTCAATTTGCTAGGCAGACTGCCCACTTGCACAGATGTCAAAGGCTTGGGAGTCCTACCCCTATTTTTTTGTCTTTCCACTCTATTGTTTCCTGAAGATCAGAAATCTCCCTGATATAACTCGCCTGTTTCTGCTGTAGCTGTCGGATTTCCTGAAGAATAAGGACAGATAGAAAGAAAGCAGACACAGGGTTAGATAGGAAGGCACTCTGCAGTGTGGACAGCCCCAGAGCCAGCAAGTGCCCCGGAGATCCCAGCACCAGGTTTGCTCACTGATCCTGAGTTTGTTCTCAGGATGCTCCCAGCTCCCAGTGCAGGAAGAAAACCTGGAGTGAAATTCTCACCAACAGGTGCTACAGTTCTAATCAAGTTAAAAAGGTTAAAAAAAAAAATCTAGCCTGTATTAATTTCCTATTGTCACTGCAACAAATAACCACACATTCAGTGGCTTAGAATAACACAGGTTTATTTTCTTATAGTTCTAGGGCACAGAAGTTCAAAAGTCTTGCAGTGGCCCCAAGGTGTGGGCAAGCCTGGGGTCTTTTCTGGAGACCAGGGATGGGGCAGAGCGGGGACAGAATCTATTCCCCGCTTCCTTTAAGCTCCTAGGGGAGCCCACAGTCTGGCTTGGGGCCCCTCCCTCACATGGCTCTGACCTTCAACCCGTGTTCACGTCTCCTAATCTGCCTTTGACTCTGCTTCCCTCTTACAAGGACTCAGCATCACACTGGGCCCACCTGGACGATACAGGATCGACTCCCATCACAAGGTCCTCAATCACATCTACAAAGTCCTCTTTGCTGTGAAACATGACTTACAGTTCCAGGGATTAGGACGTGGGCATCTTAGGGGGCCATTATTCTCTCTGCCACACGTCCTCGAACAAACCCAAAACCACCAAAGAAAGAGAATCTGCTCAAATAAAAGGTGCTGCCTCCTTACGCAGGCATACAGAATTCGTCTGAAGTCAGTGTCCAAGAAAACTGATTATCTTTGGTAGTAAACTGACAGAATGCTCCCAAGTCACTCACACACACACACACACGAAAAGCTACTCACCTCAAGCATTTCTTCTCTTTGCTTCAGGGCCTCTTTCACTTCAGCAAACTGAAACTGGAGTATACTGTGGGCATGCTTTTCCCTTTCAAATTCCTGTAAAAGAGGAGAGGAACACTCAAGCTGCAGTGGAATCACATTTTTCTGTCCCTCTAGTTCACATTCTTATGATTGATCTTCACCTGCTACTATGTCAACACAGTTTTCAAGGCTTTTTTAATGATAGAAGCCCATTTCTCTGGATTTTCTAGGAGACCACCCTATGATTTACTATAAAATTCACCCAAGGAGCTGATGCAACTGACAGTATCTCGTGATTTCTTTAAGGTAAGCAGTGCCCTGGAAGGGGTCCCTCTACAGGGTGTCTGCTGAAGTCCACAGGGTTGTCTGGGCTGAAGACCTGGAGGAGGCAGCATTGCAAAAGACTGATAATAAAATTTGTAAAAGGCTGATGATAAAAATAAAAATCATTGCGAATGGTGACTGCAGCCAACAAATTAAAAGGTGCTTCCTCCTTGGAAGAAAAGCTATGATAAACCTAGACATCATACTGAAAAGTAGAGACATCACTTTGCCAACAAAGGTCCGTAAGTCAAAGCTCTTGTTTCTCCAGTGGCCACATACGAACATGAGAGGTGGACCATGAGGAAAGCTGCGTGTCGGAGAATTGATGCTTCTGAATTATGGTGCTGGAGAAGACTCTTGAGAGTCCCTTGGCTGAAAGGAGATCAAATCTCTTGACTAAGGAGTTCCATAGTCGATCCTAAAGGGAATAAACCCTGAGTATTCACTGGAAAGACTGATGATAAAGCTGAAGCTCCAATACTTTGGCACCCTGATGTAAAGAGCCAAAAAGACTCTGATGGAAAAGACCCTGATGCTGGGAAAGATTGAAGGCAGGAGGAGAAGAGGGTGACAGAAAATGAGATGGTTGGACAGCATCACAGACTCAATGGAAGGGAGTCTGAGCAAACTCTGGGAGATTGCGAAGGACAGGGAAGCCTGGAGTGCTGCAGTGCACGGGGTCACTAAAGAGTCGGATACAACTTATCGTTTGACTAAATGACAACAGATAACGAAATTATCCCTGATATTGAAATATGCCAGTGAATACTCTTTGGGATAAAAAGGGGGTAAATATGGTCTACTTTGGCAAGTTTATCTCACTAACAGTAGATAGCCAGCTTTGTCCCCTAGAGACAAAATAGGGGCAAGGGGACATAAAGCGCTTGTCAACATAAAGCCACTCCCCCATCCGCCTCTCCCCTGTATGGAGCTCACCCTCACAACTAGGCACTGTGGCTCTTCTGCCTTCTGCTCAGCTCACTGCAGTAGCACAGTCCCTAATGACGGTCTGGTGCCCAACCAGCTGCATGTCCGACTCTTTGGCAGCCCCATGGACCCGTCAGGCTCCTCTGTCCATGGGATTTCCCAGGATTTCAGGGACAGCAGCGGACATCTGCCCTAGATGTGTTACCTGGCTATTCTAGAAGGGACTGGACCTTAGCTCACTGTGGCATCCTGAGAACACTCGTTTTCTGGAGTTTGGGGGTGACTGGACTCTCCAAACCATGACAAGGGCTATCTGTTGGGTTTTGCTTGGTTTGTGATCCCCACTTTGGGGCAACATTCCAGGGTCACTCCACTTCTCTGGAATTAGATTTGGGGTCTCTTGGTCTACTTCCTGATGCCTAAGTGATGGCATACAAGGAGTATTTAGAATGTGTTACATACTCGTCCACCTGAGTGGGATTCAGAATATGCTCTCTGTTCCTAAATTGTGAAATCAGTTTCAAAGGAAGCTTTCATGACATCAGGTCTCATGAAAAGTTTCTCCTTCATTTCAGCATTCAGCTATCAGGGCCTTCATAGACAAAATTCTTCTTTAGCTTCTAACTCAACCACAGCAGTGAAATAAAGAGGCCTTGGAGTTGTTAACAGCACCTTGGGTTTAACTCCTGGGATTTAGAGGATATTTTTGTTGTTATTTTGTCGCTAAGTCAGGTCTGACTTAGCGACTTTTGCAACCCTATGGACTGTAGCCCACTAGTCTCCTCTGTCCATGGCATTTTCCAGGCAAGAGTACTGGAGTGGGTTGCCATTTCCTTCTGCAGGGGATCTTCCCGACCCAGGGATCAAACCCATGTCTCCTGCATTGGCAGGCAGGTTCTTTACAGCTAAGCCACTGGGGAAGTCCTTTAGAGGATATAACCAGTTAGAAAAAAAGATAATGACACTCACAAATTAAATTTTCTATTGTCTCAGCAACTCTTAGAAACTGGTCAGTACTTTAGGATTTGAGAAACCAACTAATTCCTTAAAATATGAAAAACAAGTATTCGTGTTCTCTGTCTCACAAAGAACAGTTAAGTTTGGCCTTGACCAAGTCAACCTGTTGCCATTAATTTCCAAACATGCTTATGCGTTTTGTTGGTGTCATAAATTAACACATTAACTGCAGTGCCTCTTAATGAAAGCCCAAATCAGATTCTCCTCTTTTTTGAGATTGATGAACGTGTTTAATTCTTAAATGGAGTAACTGTGTTTTTTTCCAATCAGCAGAAAACAAGTGAATATAATTTCCTCAAAATCCTTGACACTTGCAACTATTTCTCTCTGGTGTTTAGGTAACAAAATAAAAATCGAGAAATAAATATTAACAGGAAAATCTTGAAGCATCTAGTTATGCCTTATCCAAGCATTCTGGGTCTTTTGGAGGCTGGTTTTTCCACGGTTATGATTTTACTTTACATGCAAAACACACAATTGTCCTCCTAGTAAAATTGTCTCTAGTTTACATATTGAAATTTTGCATGTCAATATATCAAGTACCTCAGCAAAGAGCATGGTATTCTTATTCTTAGATGTTTGAGCTTCCAGGGCAAGTAGAGAATGACTGTTTTTTAAAAAACTATACACATACAAATATATACATAAACATGTATATATACATACATAACATATATACATATCTATACACATCATATATCAAATATATATATGTACACACACATATTCTGATTCTTAAATATACCATATATAGTCTCCAATCCTTATATATATCATATATATATTCTCCCATCCTTACACATATTAATACATATATATGCATGTATTCTACCATAATTACATATACCATATATATATGTGTGTATATATATAGTCTCCCACTCTTACATAGACCATTTACAAATATACTCTCTCCTTACATGTATCATTTATATATATTCTACCATCCTTATATATACCAAATATATGTATTTAAGTTCTTATTGTTGTTTCATCGCTAAGTCATGTCCAACTCTTTGCAATCCCATGGGATTGCTCCTCTGTCCATGGGATTTCCCAGGCAAGAATACTGGAGTGGGTTGCCATTCCCTTCTCCAGGGCATCTTCCTGATCCAGAAATCAAGCTCCCATCTCCTGCATTGCAGGCAGATTCTTCACCATTGAGCCACTAGGAAAGCCCTATATTTATGTGTGTGTGTATACATATGTATACATACACTCCAGTATTCTGGCCTGGAGAATTCCATGGACTCTGTATAGCCTGTGGGGTCGCAAAGAGTCGGACACAACTGAGTGACTCTCACTATCCTTATACACGCACAGGCACATACAGTCTCCCACCCTTGCCTGCGTCACTGTGTGTCTGCTGCCCCGCCTTCACACACACCATCACACACGCACAGTCACTCCTCCCCACGCGGGGGGCACGCACTTTGCTCTTCTCCTCGTATTGCCGCCTGGACTCGGCCAGCTGCTCTTCCAGCTCCAGCAGCATGTCCTTTAGCGTGTCGACCTGGTACATGAAGTTCGTCTTCTCATTGTCTAGCTGGGCGTTGGAAACCATAGCCTTCTTGTATTTCTCCTCAACTTCTGCTAGGGAGTCCTGCAGAAACCAGGTCAGGTTTTTGAAATTGTAGAAAGAAAACAAAAACAGGGATCAGTTCAGCATTTTTTAGCAACGCCCCAAAAACTCAACTCTAAATTTACGTTTTATTTCTTAGAGCAAATGAATCAGAAGAAGCAACACAGCAAGTTTTGATTGCCCAGAAAGTCCTCCTTTTAATTTGCTCAAATTCTCGTGGCTTGGAAAATTAGTTATTAACTGTGTCTAGAGATGAAAGTAATTTACAGTTCTTAGGACAAGGGGGACTCCGGGTGGAAAGGGCGCTGGTCATAGAGGCGGCAGAGTGCACCTGTGGGTTCTGAACTGGGCTGGGCTGTTCAACAGGCACCTGACGTGACTGCTCCAGACACGTGATCAGGACCCAGGACAGCGCCAGTGCCAGGTGGGAGGGGCGAGAGAACCCCTGCCACCAGCTGCCCACTGTTCCCATGGCGACTGGGGAACCAGGAGAGGCTTAAGTGCAATTTCACATCTGCAATTCAGAGGGAAACTCAACAAGCTCCTCAGGCCTCCCTGGGCAGGTCCTGGAAAGGCAAACGCTGTTCCTTCGAAAAGACAATGAAGGAAAGAGCCTCCAAAATAAACATGCTCATACCCTGGCAGGGCAGGCCACAGGGTGTAGCAGCGTGTGGGTTCTGGAACACAGACCAGGGGAAGGCGACCCGGGAGAAGGGCAGACACCGCTGGGTGGGGCCTGTTGGGCGGTACGCGGGGCTCCATGGAGACACTTGCAAACCAGGGCGAAGATTTCAGGTGGGACCTGTGGTTCCTGGGCTGTTTCCCGGGCTCCCTTCTCAGCCCCACCAGGAGCTGAAAGCCAGAATCTTAATCCCCACCCTAAAGAGAGGTCACAACGCTTCCCAGGGGGTGCTAGTGGTAAAGAACCCTCCTGCAGTGCAGGAGACATACTGAGATGCGGGTTCGATCCCTGGGTCGGGAAGATTCCCCCGGAGGAGGGCCTGGCAACCCGCTCCAGTATTCTTGCCTGGAGAATCCTGTGGACAGAGGAGCCTGGCGGGCTACAGTCCATGGGGTCACAAAGAGTTGGACATGACTGAAGCGACTTAGCACACACACACGAAGAGAGGTTACAAACAAGCAAGTGACCAGCCGTGTCATTTGGCACCCCTGGGATACTGAACTCAGACTGTTTTGGGGGTACTTTCCTGGGAGTTGAAAAGGAAGGCACAGATTTACCCTCTCTCGCTGCCCAGTGAAGTCAGAGAACAGCCCCTGACTCCCCACCTCATCTTCAGGGAGCCTGGCCACTCAATTTCCTGTTGGCACAACGCAGTAACTCCACCTTCTAAAAGTACCGGGTATTTACTCAAATAAATTCAAGATGATACATATTCAGACATTGCTTCTATTAGTAAAATGGCTCAGGATGCAAGTAATTTGTGTGTTTCAAAAGCACAGCAACCGAACTTCCTTACTGGGAGACATCAGGTGTTTTGAGAAGCAAATTAAGATGAAGCAGTGTTTGTTATGTAAGGTCTGTAAGTGGGGAAAACTCCAAATCCTTCTCCAGGTGGGTTGGAAGTATACCACGGAGGGTACACTTCAGTGGGAAATGAGAAGGTGGTTTTAACTCGGGTGTGATGGTGGGAGGACAGTGAGTAAAACACATGCACCAAGAAAACGAGTAAGTAAGTTTTTCTAGCAAGTTACAATTTTCAGATCTTGGCTTAAAAGCTGCTTTTGGGTAAACCATGGACACACACACCCAGGCTTCTAGCATTGCTGCCACTTTGAGGTCTACAGTCTGAAGCCTCTTCAGAGCAAGCATGCAATCTGCAGGCTTTCTGGAGGGGTTTTAGAGTTAAGTTGGGTTAATTCCATGAGCCCACACTTCCATAAGCTGGTACCTTCATCTCTTTCAATCCCTGCATGTATTTGCCTTCTACATCCTGAATCTGGTCCTTTAATTCATTGAGTTCCTGGGGGAAATGGCAAAAGAGGCAAATGATGTCAAAGGGGAAAAAACAAAAAGGACAGAAACCACAGAGGAGAGGCGGCTCCCTTATTTGAGTAGTCGTAGCAGCATTCTTCTCTTCATCTGTTTAAGCGTTAAAAGAAAAATAAGATGAATTTCAATACTAAAAAGATTAAAATTTTTGGTGTGTCTCATATAATGTTTTCACACAACTTTATCAGACGTAGATGTCTTCGTGTATTTTGACACAACTTTTTAAAACAGGCAAGCGAGCTTCTGAGAATGGAACAAGTCAATTTGTGTGCTCACATTTAACAGTTCATTCACGCTCTCTTGAGTTCTACTCTGCTACAGAGCAAGATGCTGACGATGGAAACCAGCAAAGCCTTGCCCTGCCGTGATGGAGCGCCAGGACTCTGCCTTCTGGCCTGGTCCACCCCCACCTTCCTGGGGGCCGGTGTCCTACGAGCTGGAGGCTCAGTAAATCCTTGTTGATCAAGGGGATGAGGCTCACGAGCCAAGAGCAGAGACAGAGTATGACTGCAGCCAACGCTACCTCGAGGCAGGGAAGGATGCCCCAGGCTGCAGGAGGCCGAGGAGGGGTGGCTAAGGGTGGGGACATTTCAGGAAGAGCAATCGGAAACTGTCCTAGAAAGCAGGGGAACTGGAAGGGGTCTGCAGGGCAGGGCTGATGCTCTGGGCTCCCTGGCAAATGACACCCCGCCGTTCAGACAGCAGGAGGGGCGGCGGGTTCTCTCGCAGCCAGCTTTCATTACTAGAAAGCGTTGTCCATAGATGAGGCCAGACCTGACCTGGAAGCACCTCGCTGGCCTTGGCTCTCTCTCCGGTGGACATGAGGTCTGGTGACTCAGCCTTCCCTCGGCCCGGCCTCCTATCCAGACGGGGCGTCCCCAGTTGCTTTGACAAGCAGAGGCCCCTTCTGTGTCACACGCTCCTTGCTGAGACGTCACAGAACAGGGCACACATTCCAGCGGGAGGAGGGAAATCGCTAAAGCGGCAGGACAGGGTCGACTGGAAGCCCATTACAGTGGGGGCGGGAGGGCGTGTTTCAGGCAGAGGGCGGGGGTGCTCCAAGGGCAGGGCGGGACCCTCGGGGGCGTGAAGACTCTGTGTCCAGCACCTTCCAGCGCTGAGGACGGGATGTCTGCGCCTGCCCTGTGTGCAGAGGGGGCTGAGCGCAGGGTGAGTGCTCCCACCCAGGTGTGCCCGGGGAGCTGAGGAATCCCCGCACAGGTGAGCCCCGCCGGGGCGGGGAGGTCAGGGGCAGCTCCCTACAGGACACCAGAACTGGGCTGGACCCTGCTGCTACTGGAACACAGAGCTTCGGGGAGCCAGGGAAGACCTAACCAAGAAGAAAGAGCTGGGATTTTATAAACTCGATCTTGTTTCACTGGAAGACTGCCTTCCACACACGGTTTCTCTGGCTCACACGTTAAGCAGAGAGCCTTACCTTGATCTCCCGGATGGAAGCCTCGGTGTCAATGGAGATGGAGGTGTCCCCACTGCCCCTCCGAGAGGAAGTCCCACCCAGGGAGGCCAGCGTGGCTGCAGACAGGCCGGGCAGGCTGCGAGACCCCTGCGACGTGGCAAAGAGCAAATGGGATTTCAGCCAAAACTACAACTGCTTCTCAGTCTACCAGATGGTTCCTTTACTTGGAGTCAGTCTCCAAATTGGAAAATCTCTGGGGGGTTTATGGCGAGCCACAAAGAGAGGGGCCTCATCTCAAGGGGCCTCATGAAGGCTGGAGGTTTGTCTGGATTAACTGTGAGCTCCATGCCTGGGCCCATCATTGAATTCCTTCACTGTTCTGCAAGATTTAATCACACGCTGGGAGGGGACCCCCCAAAGATGACGCTGGCTGGGGAGTCACTCACTAGTCTGCTTCACTCGTGGTGAAATTCTTTACTTAAGATCAAGAAATACATTTTCTGGTCAGTTTCACACATAAATTTTGGGGCCCTCTGGTTTCTACATGACATCATATAAAGTATACAGAAATCCTCTACCTTTTCAGTGAAGTCTTTTTCTGGTCTCTCTTCAACCTGGAGGCGAAAATGGACACATGTTAAATACAGAAACAGATTAAACGGAGAATCTAGATTTAGGGGGAAAGAGAATAATAAAATGAAGCACTGGCTTCTCTCGTGATTCAAACACTTGGTGCCATGAGGCTCTCGGACACTCTTGGTGCCACACGGGTGGCCTGTGGGCAGCTCACTGCGCCTGGCTGAGGTCCGTTGTGCGGTTTTTCAGCTTTCACAGTTTCCACAGGAAGGTGATTTGTGAATGATCTGAATCTGAACAGGTTGATTTGACAGGTTTCTACACTGCGTGCAGAACCAAGTGTAGACCGGATGGCACCAGCCTCATTCACCCACCACAGTAACTGTGATTGGAACGTGAGGATATAACCAGGGCTCCAGGGGCTGGAAGACGCAACCACACAGAGTTTTACTTTCGGCTATATCACTAACCTTGGTCTTCAAGCAAGAGAAAGCGGTGGAGACAACGGCTGCAGTGTTTCCGCTGCTCATGAGTAAATGAGTCGTGTCCTACTCTGTGCAGCTCTATGGACTACAGTCCACCAGGCTCTCTGTCCTTGAATTCTCCAGGCAAGAGTACTGGAGTGCTTTCCCGTTCCCTCCTCTAGGGGACCTTCTCAACCTAGGGACTGAACCCACATCGCCTGTGTCTCCTGCACTGGCAGGCAGGTTCTTTACCAGTGAGCCACCTGGGAAGCCCCGACTATAGAGCACAGACACTTACACTATATTCAATATCCTTGGAAAAGAACACGAAAAAGAATATATATACATATGTATAACAATCACTTTTCTGTATAGCAGAAATTAACACAACAGTGTAAATGAACTACACTTCAGTAAAATTTTTAAAAAAACAAGAAAACAAGCTTATAGTTAGCAAACGGGAAATGTGGTGGGTAGGAATAAATTAGGAGGTTGGGATTAACACACACACATACTACTATATAGAAAATGGATGACAAGTGTCTTCTGCATAGTGCAGGGAACTATACTCAGTACCTTATAATAACCTATAAGGGAAAAGAACCTGAAAAAAGATATATATGCATACGTAACTGAATCACTTTGTTGTACAGCAGAAATTAACACAACAATGTAAATCAACTGTACATCAATTAAAGAAAGAAAAGTGGTGCTTTGATTTTTCCTGTAGTCATGTATGGATGTGAGAGTCGGACCATAGGAAGGCTGAGCACTGAAGAATTGATGCTTTTGAACTGTGGTGTTGGAGAAGACTCTTGAGAGTCCCTTGGACTGCAAGGAGATCTAACCAGTCCATCCTAAAGGAGATCAGTCCTGGGTGTTCATTGGAGGGACTGATGCTGCAGTGGAAGCTCCAAAACTTTGGCCACAAAGACTCATTAGAAAAGACCCTGGTGCTGGGAAAGACTGAAGGCAGGAGGAGAAGGGCTGACAGAGGATGAGATGGTCGGATGGCATCACCGACTCAACGGACATGAGTTTGAGCAAGCTCCGGGAGATGGTGAAGGGCAGGGAAGCCTGGGGAGCTGCAGGCCACGGGGTCAGGGAGCGACTGAACTAGTGTGCGGCCACTGCAGCCCCTCGAGTTGCCACCAGGTGGCAGGCTGTGTCGCGCGGAGGAGGACATGCCCGGGGTGGGCAGGGCACCTCTAACAGCCCCTAAAAAGGAACAGACAAGCAAGGAACCCCAGCAGTGAGTTTAAGTTGACGTAAAGCACAGCACTTTATCTTTGAAAGTAATATACAAAGAAACAGAATAGATGGAGGGCTTTCAAACACCGTCCTGGCTGCTGCACAAAGTCACCCAGAGGATGTTGTGGGCAATACACACCCCAACATGCCGCAGCCGTGGCAGCATGGGGCCCGGGACAAGCCACGGGACTCCTCGGATTTTGCCTCCTCGTCCCAGACAGGGCGGCGGCACCACAGACCTCGAAGCCTATTAACCCTCTTGTTCTCACTTACTGAGCAATACTGAACACCTTAGGTGGACGTGGAAATGTCACAGGAACGGGCTTTTGAAACATGCAAATCACAATAGAGTGTATACAAGGGCATCTTTTAAAATCTATGGGAGAGCACAAACATATGGACACCGAGGAAGAAAAGGGGGGTGGGAAGAACTGGGAGACTGAGGCTGGCATGTATTCACCATATACAGACTCAACGTACACTGCTCCCCATCACCTCATGGGAAACAGATGGGGAGACAGTGAAAGACTGTATCTTTCTGGGCTCCAACATCACTGCAGATGGTGACTGCAGCCATGAAATTAAAAGACGCTTACTCCTTGGGATGAAAGTTATGACCAACCTAGACAGCATACTAAAAAGCAGAGACATTACTTTGTCAACAAAGGTCCATCTGGTCAAGGCTATGGTTTTTCCAGTGGTCATGTATGGATGTGAGAGTTGGACTATAAAGAAAGCTGAGCACCGAATAATTGATGCTTTTGAACTATGGTGTTCGAGAAGACCCTTGAGAGTCCCTTGGACTGCAAGGAGATCCACCTAGTCCATCCTAAAGGAGATCAGTCCTGGGTGTTCACTGGAAGGACTGATGCTGAAGCTGAAACTCCAGTACTCTGGCCACCTCATGCGAAGAGTTGACTCATTGGAAAAGACCCTGAAGCTGGGAAAGATTGAGGGAAGGAGGAGAAGGGGACGACAGAGGATGAGATGGTTGGATGGCATCACCGACTCGATGGATACAAGTTTGGGTAGACTCTGGGAGTTGGTGATGGACAGGGAGGTCTGGTGTGCTGCAGTCCACGGGGTCACAAAGAGTCAGACACGACTGAGCGACTGAACTGAACTGAACAGTACTGTGTATAAAACAGAGAACTAGTGAGAACCTACTCCCGAGAGCAGAGAGCTCTGCTCAGCGCTTGCTGTGACTAAACAGGAAGGAAATAAAAAAGGAGATGTATGTAGCTGATTCACTCTGCTATACAGCAGAGACTAATACAATACAACACTGTAAAGCAACCGCATTTCAATAACAATTAAAAAAATCTTTGGCAGAAAATCATTTCCGAAAAATTTCTTTTAAACTTTAAATTATGTCAACTCTTCCTTCCCTGGCGGCTCAGGCAGTAAAGAATCTGCCTGTAATGCAGGAGACCTGGCTTCCATCCCTGGGTTGGGAAGATCCCCTGGAGAAGGGAATGTCTACCCACTCCAGCATTCTTGCCTGGAGAGTCCCACGGACAGAGGAGCCCAGTAAGCCACAGTGCACACGGTCCCAAAGAGCTGGACATGACTGAGCCACTAACGCTCTCTTTTTCCTTCCAAAAACAAAAGCTTAAAGTAGCACATTAAATATTTTATTAATTCCAACCTTCTAAAATGGTGTCTAATCGGGTTTACTATTTAGGCTCACTTAAGTACCATGTGTGGTAAGGTTTTAAATTCCAGGTTCGGCATATCACCACCTGACTTGCCCACCTTCCTGGAGACAGAGCCCAGTACGTGGGTGCAGGGAGACCTGAGCCAAGGGTTTGGGGACAAAGGAACTTCTCCTCATGGTGTCCAGCCCCTAGGCAGGAAACGGGACCACAGACAGAAGCAGGTCCCCACAGCCTCCCTCTCAAGAAACCAATGCACAGCAGTGAACAGTGCTCAGAAGACACCCCTCAAACGTAAACAGCAGTGGGGCCTACCATTAGACTGGAAACTTCTGGTTTTTAATCCAATAATATTGATCTCATCCGGATGACTCTATTGTATTCATAATTCAAGACCTGTTTTTTCCACCCGGTTCCTGCCCTCACCTCTTTACAAGACTTGAACATGAGTCACTACAGCCTTTTGTTTCCCTGGCTCACAGGGGGCTGAGGTTCCTGCTCAACACTCTTGCTTCTTTGTGAGCACAATGGCACGTGAAGCTGGGCTCCACGCAGGACACCCTGAGGATGCTTCAGAGCCCTGGCAGCTCCACTGAATCCGCGTGGGACCCTGAGGCGTGGGGGACAGGGCTGCACTGGCCCCTGCAGGCCTGGGTCACCCGGCCTCCTGAGTCCAGCTCTCCAGAAGCACCCTCCCCACCCCTCTCGGCCCACCCCAGAGCCTGTGCTCTGAGTTCCATACTGCAAGTCGCCCACCCACTGAGGTCTGCCTTCCCGGCCTGTGCGTCCCTGCCCGGGACAGGTGTATGTATTTCCCCTGCAGTCCTGGGTCTGGAACATTCGATAAAGTCTGGCTGAATGAACAGGCCCCAGCTTGCTCAAGAGGAAGACTCTGGGCTCGTCGGAGAAGGAAACACAGCTTGCCTACAGAATGTGACAGTGAGCATGAGGTCCAGAAGCGTGTACCCTCCTGAGACCGGGCGGGGTCCTCTCTGTGCACTACCCACCCCCGACCCCCCACCCCCGCCTCGAGGCTGGAGCACCAGCAGGTGGGGCGCCCTCGGGAGGTGGAGGCATCTCTGTTTTCTCAAAGTGGGACAAGCTGTCACCTCCCCTCATCCTGGCTACTTTTGCTCTTGGATAGCACTCCCCTTGCCCACCCCTCAGGGCACTAGTCTGCTGTCCACACCCAGAGCCACCCAGAGCTTCCCCTGCGTGGCCCATGCTTCCTCCTGTCCCCTGCCCTGGCTCACGCCACCCTCCTGGGACCATATTCCTGCTGGGTCACAGCTGGCGACACTCCCCATGAGCCATGGTGGACAGCACTCCCGCCCCTGGAAAACTTGCCCCCGGAGAAGCACGGTATCAACGCGAATCTCTTGTTTTTATGTTTCAAGCATATCAATTACCAGGTGGAGCTCAGGAAGTCTACATGCCTGGCCAGGTGTCCCCAGCCAGGAATGAGAGCTGTGAACTTTAGCCTGGGTTCTTGGAATCCCTCCTCCCTTCCTGCCCTGCGTCCCTCTGAGAGGCCAGGTGGGGACGATCGGTCACCCCCAGGGTCCTCTCCCTGGGGCCCCGCCTGCCCCCGAGGCTCCTCCCTGCCAGGCAGGAGGGCCAGGGGAGTCTGAGCACAAGTTTCCTGGCCTCTTTCCATTCAACACGGCCAAGTACACCCACTTACACTCTGCCAGTCTCGCAAGCCCAAAATACAAACACCCACCCCTTTCCAGTGCTAGGACCGCCCAGAACTCAGAAAATAGAAACGAGCCAATTCCAAGGAAAAGACTGAGCTCTGGAAGCACAGAGCCAAGGGCTAGCTCAGCTGCATCCTCCGGACTCTCTGCAGAGGCCAAGGGTGCTGCCCATGTTCTGGCCTTCCAGTGGCCAAGAGCCACTGTAACCACATGCCCTGGGGAACCACCCTGCTCAGCCAGAGTGTCTCTGCCGCCTGAGGGCTTCACACAGAGGCGTCCTCAGCTCTGAGGTCCCCCCCACCCCCCGCATCGTGAGGGGCCCAGATGCTGGCTTTTGCTCACTGACTGTGCCACCTGAGTCAGTGACCTTTATAAACTAGCAGATGACTCAGGGGAGAGCGGAGACCAGAACAATGGCCTGTTTGCAGTGAACTGAAGGTTGGTTCAGCTCAGTCAAGTCCCTGGGAGTCTTGCAAACCCAGGGCTCTCAAGGGACCAAAAGGTGGAAGGGCAGGTGTGGTCAGGCGCCACAGTTACAAAGAGATGCCCACCTCTCATTATCAGGCCCCAGGGGCACCGGCCCGATGAACGCTCACCTCTCTTGCATCCATTAAACCCAAATTCTGAGTAAACTGTTCTCAGGTTTAGGCAGCAGATGACAGAGGAACTCGTATCTGGTTTCCATCTCTTGGGGCTTCCCTGGTGCGCAGTTGGTAAAGAATCCGCCTGCAATGTGGGAGACCCCAGTTTGAGCCCTGGGTTAGGAAGATCCCCTGGGGAAGGGATAGGTTACCCGCTCCAGTATTCTTGGGATTCCCTGGTGGCTCAGCTGAAAAAGAATCTGCCTGCAGTGAGGGAGACCTGGGTTCGATCTCTGGGTTGAGAAGATCCCCCGGGGAAGGGAAAGGCTACACACTCCAGTTCTGGCCTGGAGAATTCCGTGGACTGTGTAGTCCATGGGGTCGCAAAGAGTCGGACACGACTGAGCGACTCTCACTTTCACTTTCGGTCTCGGGTCTGGGGAGCCTGACTGAGCTTCTCTTCTGTGGCTTCCTCCTGAAGCCTGAACAAACCCAAAGTAGTCAGATCAGCGCCGTTTACAGCCGCCTGCCCCACCGAGACATGCCGGGCAGGGCACTGGTGCAGAGCCAGGTCTCAGCCTCTTCTGACAACCGTGAAGTTTCATTTTTCCCAAAAGGTGAGCACAAGAGAGTATCACACCCGACGATGAGTGACTCCACGTTAGTCATCGTGCAAAATGTGACTCCCGCCAGGTCGAAGGTTTCTGGGCTGTGTGTGTCTGAAACTCGTGACTGCGGGCCCGAAGGTGGAGGTGGGCCAGCCCTCGCAGGCGTGGGCTGCTGACCGTGGAGTCCCGAGCTCACAAACGCCGCGCTTCGCTCACGTCTGTCACATCAGGGGAAGCGACCCTGACCACTGCACTCACGTGTCACTGAGCAGCTCAAAGTCTGCCTGTCCCGGCCTGATGTGTCCTGGGTGCAGCAATAAGCAGGGGGCTTTGTGCGGTGTCCGTCACCCCACGTTCCCTCTGCCCCACCTCAGCACAGTCAGGACATGGCTTCTATTCCCCTCATGGCTGGGGGGACAGGGGCTCACAGGACTGTGAAGACGGTGGGGGGCGTCTCACAGAGGGGGCGGCCTCCCTGCTGGGGGAATGGGGGGGATGTCTCACTGAGGGGGTGGCCTCCCTGCTGGGGGGTGACCTCCCTGCTGGGGGGACAGGGAGGCATCTCACAGAGGGGGCCGCCTCACTGCTGGGGGGACGGGGGGCTCACAGATGGGGCAGCCTTCATTTCCACAGAGAAACAGGCTCTCCTGTTGTAACACTCAGCTTCCTTATCTGCCTTCTGCTTCTGCACCCTCGATACGCAAACAGTGGAGTGGACATTCCTATCAGGAAAGCGCCCGTACAGCCCAGTGAGGGACGCCTCTGGCCTTGGCCTTGGCAGCAGGCAGAGCCGGGCAGGGGTCGGGGCGCAGAGGTCCTCGACTCAGCAACACAGACTCGGCTGCAAAAGCCACCCTGTGGCCTGCTCCCCCAGGAGCCGCAGATAACCTACACGGGGTGAAGAGCCTCCTGGCCTTCAGAGGCACATCTCGTTTAAAAAACAAAGCAGCAATGCCCACAGGTGCGCCTGGCCAAGGAGGCGACTCACTCCACGTCTCCTGATGACCAGGAAGTCTCCCTAAACTTTAGCCAGCTAACAGCAGGCTTGTGTGAGTGTGCAGAGCCTCAGTCAAGCTCTTGTGGGATGCAGGAGTGAGGAAAGAGGTCAGCTCTGCCCACCTGTGCCTCCTCCGCCCAGGGTCTATCGGGAGGGGCACCCCGAGGTGTGGCTCAGCACGCAGCCCCAGCCCCTGCCCACTGAACGCCCCTCCCCTGGCCACTGTGTCAGCCCCCACCCCACATGTCCCTCGGACAGAACTGGCCTGCCAACCGCTTGTGGTCAAAAGAACAACACAGTTGCCTCCTATAAACTATCAGATGCGGAGACACAGTCTAAAATTCCCAAGACCAGGGGAAACCTGCACGACAGCCAGACTTTAGTGCCGGGGGACTAGACGGCAGGGCCCCTGTTCTCTGATGGGGCCCCGGGGCCATCTCCTGCGAGTGACAGACAGCTGAGCAGCTCTGAGGTCAGTTTCCAGGCTCTGAACAGAGGACCCAGGGCGTCGAGGGGATGGAGCAGGGCCACGGTGTGTGGCACCCACTCTACCCTAAAAACCGTCAGGTCCAAGAACAGACAACGTTCCAAACAGAGGTTAAAGGTGAATCCTCCAACGTAAGAGTGGTACAGACGAACTTATGTACAAAGCAGAAACAGACGCACAGAAGCGGAATACAAACCTTTGGTGACTGGCGGGGACAGCTGGGCAGAGGGATAAACTGCGAGTTTGGGATGGACACATACACACTACCGTCTGTAAAACAGATGACTACTAAGGACCTCCTGTATAGCACAGGGAACTCCACTCAACACTCTGTAATGACCTGTGTGGGGAAAAAATCTAACAAAGAATAGATGTATGTGTATGTATAACTGATTCACTTTGTTGTAGAGCAGAAACTGACAGCACATTGTAAATCAACTATACTCTAATAAAAGTTAAAAAAAATAGTTAACTGGGACAAACACAAAAAAATAAATAAGTGAGCCCTTCCCATTTTTAAATTGTAAAAAACAACACATCTACACGCACGGCTGCCTTTCCTTCCCCACCATGCAAAGATCCGTCCTCCCAGGAAGGCCCGTCAGAGACTTCCAAGATCGTCCTTCAGAACTTGAGGAGGGCAATTCTGATATCACTGAACCATCCTTTTCTAAATGTGGAAGCATCTTCCCCAATCCCATGTTTTAAACTGAGACTGGACTAAAGCATGGAATGCCTTCTGGCTTGCGCACGGGTTCAGGCATCTGGAGGTTGGGGGTGGTCTTCTTGGGGGTCAGAGGATGAGGGTCTGAGGGCAGGAGGCAGGGAAGGAAGGGAGGGGACAGGGGCCAGAGAGAGAGAGAGACCCACTCACCACTGGGCTGGCCCGCGCAGAACTGGCTCTGGAGGAGGCGCGGGAGCTGGACTTGAAGTGGCCGCTGAGCTCCGAAGCCTGCCCACCCAGCTGGCCGCAGGACACAGAGGCAGAAACAGAGGAACAGGTCGGCAAGGTCAGCGAGGACGCAGAGACAAAAACAGAGGAACAGGTCAGCGAGGAGGATGGACGCCCGGTTAGCGGCGAGGTCAGCCGGGTGCAGCTCAGGGAGGAAGGAGAGGTTAGTGCGGCCAGCGGTGGCCCCCCAAAAGAAGGCAGTGTTGTCCCAGCTCCCGACCCACGGCCACTCAGAACACACAACTTAATCATCCTGTCAAAGAACGTGGGGTTCTCGCTTGGTAGGGTGAGGGTCACACACAGCACCTGCTTGGCCGGGGGTGGGGGGACACCCAGTTTCTGCGCAGAGAAGCTTTGACGATGTGGAAGAGGCTGGTGGGGGACTGGGACAGTAAGCTGCCTCCCGGCATGGGACCAGAAAAGGGGTGGGGGGCACGGGCCTGGCTTTGGGGCAACTGAGAAGTCTGCTTCTCTACTATCTCTGCAAGTGGATACAAAATAAGATCCAGGGCCAATACAAAATCAGCCATGGCTTGTTCAAGTGCTACAGGACCTTCTATCTGGTTGCCTGTATGTGTATCTATGTTGCTGCTGTTTAGTCGCTCAGTCGTGTCCGATTCTTTGTGACCTCGTGGACTATAGCCCGCCAGGCTCCTCTGTCCATGGGATTTTCCAGGCAAGAAGACTGGAGCGGGTTGCTATTTCCTTCTCCAGCAGATCTTCCTGGCCCAGGGGTCGAACTCGAGTCTCCTGCACTGCAGGCGAATTCTTGACCACTGAGACATCAGGGAAGCCCATATGGATTAACGCGCATCCATCTTCCCTAAACTTTCTCTCTTCTGGTACAGGAAAACACCAGGAACTCGTTTATCTGGAGGCTCTGCCCTCTTAACTTTGATCTGTATTCACATTTGTTCCAGCCCTACAACAAGATCTTACCTGCCTCTTAAACAAGGCAGGGCGGGGGGTTGGGGTGGGGGAGGCAGGATTTGAACAGCGTTTAGGACTGCGGGAATCAGCAGACTGAACAGCGGGTCCAAGAGGCCTCCGCTGACTGTCCCCTCCTTCCCCCCAACCCCACCCCCACCCTGAGACCCACAGGCATATCCCAACTGCAGGTTTTAAGGCGCCATAGCTTCGGAGGTCCTCCTGATCCTTATCGTAAATACCATTGCTCCGTCTGCCTGTTTTCCATCAGCGTGGAATTCTTGAGGGCAGAGTCTGTGTGTATTTTGTTCCCTGTTGAATCCTTGGCCATCAGAGGCGGCCTGGCACACAGGAGGCACTTGAGAAATACTTGCTGAACGAACCCCTTCAACTTTAGACTGTAAATAGCCTTGATCAAGACGAGTGAGTTCCCCAGGCTGGTTCTGCCTGGACTCACCCCTCTGCTGCATAAACACTTCATGTATATTTACATGTAGGTGAAAGATGCTTTCTCAGACGCACAGACACGGCTGCACGTACAACACGTGTAAGAATCACCGCTGCATATGGCACATACAAGAATTCACCAGTATCACTAGCCTCACCTTTCAGCTTTCCTGTTCAAAATAAAGAAAAACACTTGACATCAGCGCCGTAAAGCAGTATTTTGCCTTTGGGGTTTTCCTCATGTAAAAGTGAGGAAAACTTCCTCATGCAGACAAATCCTATTATATTCTATACCATTCACATCCTGGTTTATGGTGCAGAGATGTGATGGATTATCGTTAATAAGGCTTCTTTCTGACCCAAGTTTCCCCAACTCCTGAGTCAAAACCTGCTCTCAAATCATCCGAACTGACTCGGTGTGGAAAAGTCAAGTGTAAAGTCTGTATTACGTGGTCCATGCGGCACCTTTGGGGCCGCCTGTGCTTTGGCGTCAGCGTGGTTAACTGTGTGCTGATGTAAGGTAGAAAGGTCTGAGTTCAGGGTCCATTTCTAATCAGCCGGGAGACCTTGGGAAAGTTACGTATCCTGTCACCGGTGGCATCAAGCAGGGCTACTGACCACACGGGTGGGGAGGATTACGCAAGAGAATGCAAGCTGGGCTTTCCCCCTGCTGTTTCTTCCTGATAAAACAATGTGCACGGCTCCCGGACCAGGTGGCATTGGTGGTGATGACCGCGGGTCAGAACAACTTAGAAGGTCATGTCACACAGGGCCAGGAGTCCTCCCTACAACCTACAAACAGCTTACCAATGGTAAGGAAGGTACTGAATAGAAAGGTTTCAAGGGATGGGATGGGGAGGGAGGTGGGGGGTGGTTCAGGATGGGGAACAGATGTACACCCATGGCTGATTCATGTCAATGTATGGCAAAAGCCACTACAATACTGTAAAGTAATCAGCCTCCAATTAAAATAGATAAATTAAAAAAAAACTGTTCTACTTTTAAGAACTAGTCATTAAAAAAACTGCAACCATGATAAGTCATTTATGAACAAGTGGGGTTTCCCAGTTGGCGCCAGTGGTAAAGAACCCTCCGGCCAATGCAGGAGACATAAGAGATGTGAGTTCGATCCCCGGTTCGGGAAGATCCCCTGGAGGAGGCAGGGGGTGGCAAGCCATTCCAGAATTCTTGCCTGGAGAATCCCATGGACAGAGGAGCTGGGCAGACTATGGTGCACAGGGCTGCAAAGAGTCGGACATGACTGAAGTGACTTATGCACGTGCTAAGTTGTTTGGCTGTAAACACACCCTGTGTCTGAGGCAAACTTTCTGGGGGAAGGAAGATGGGGACTTGTCTTTCAAAGGGGGCTCAGGGCTGGTTTATGTGGGCTTGGGGCCAGCCTGGACTCAGGTCGGAGCACCACCAGTCAGGATAGAAGAGGCCCTGGAGGCGCAGGGTCCTCACGTCTTTGTATGCGTATTTATCAGCGGCCACAGCTCATATCTGGAGGGAGAACCGGGGAAGCTGCATTCCTGGCCGTGGGGAACTCCGTACCCCCCTGGAGGGCTATTGTGAGGGTGTGAGCAGAGCTGGGGGAGAACGAGAGGTCAGTGAAACTTCCCTCCCGCTCAGCCCGCTGACCGGCACAGAGCTCTCTTCTGCAGGATGGTGTCCCAGGGTTCAATTTGTCCCATTTAATCTAGCAAACACGTGCTGTGCCCCTTCTGCGTAGGAATGCAGTGTTAGGTGCAGAAAAATGTCCTTTTATTCTCTTATTTCTCCTGCCTGGAGTGACACCAGCCACAGGAGCCCTATTTTAGGCTTTCTGCTGCAAGGACAAGAAGATCTTTCACCTCCTTAAGTCCCTAAAGCCATCCCCCCCGCCCCCCCCCCCCCCCCCCCCGCCCCACCGTGGTTCCTCCAGGAGGCTGAAAGCATGAAAGAACCGCCACACACAAGAGCAATCTGCAATGCTGATTGCTGCACTCTGAAGGCCAGGAATCAGCTATAGGGAAAGTCCAGCTACAGAAGTAACATCAAAGAGAATCTATGAGAGAACATCCCGCCAGACAGTAGGAGTTCTGCTTCGGTGTTTCAGAAATCTCCTTCTCTTAAAGAGCTAGGATGCTCTTACTGATGAAAGAAAAGCATTTACTTTGCATTGTATCTGTCAGATAGGCCAGAGTTATTTTATCCAGCATGTATGGTTTGTGAGCTTTTTAAGGGTCTACAAAAATATTTAAGAACTGGGAAGAAGACTCCACTGCATCAAAATTTTATACAGTATAAAAGTGTTCAATGCAAGTGTTTAGTTAGATGTCAGCAAAAACTCATGCTACATGGGACTAACAGATACACAGTACTACATCTAAAACAGACGGCTGATAAGGACTTACTGCACAGCAGGGGACTCTCCTCAATACTCTGTAACAACCTATATGGGAAAAGAATCTAAAGAAGAGTGTATGTGTGTGTGTGTGTGTGGGTGTGTGTGTATTAGATTCCTTTTGCCATACCCTGAAACTATCACAACATTGTAAATCAACTATGTGGCTGGTGTTTAGTTGCTAAGTCATGTCCGACTCTTTTGTGACCCCTCCCCATGGACTGTAGCCCACCAGGCTCCTCTGTCCATGGGATTTCTATACCCCAATAAAAAAAATTTTAAAAACCCAAGCTATCTCTATTAGATTTAATATTTATAAAAATTACATTCTGAATAAAACTGTAAGTTATGCTGGCTTTCTTCACAGGAATTCCTAAATATTCATGATGACTGGAGAAATATAATAAATCATAAAGTTGGATGGTTTAGCCCATCAATTAACTAGTAAAAGTGTTAGCTGCTCAGTTGTGTCAAACTCTTTGTGATCCCATGGACTGTAGCCTGTCAGGCTCCTCTGTCCATGGAATTCTCCAGGCAAGAAAACTGGAGTGGGTTGCTATTTCCTTCTCCTGGGGATCTTTCCAATCCAGGGATCGAACCCGAGTCTCCTACTTTGCAGGCAGATTCTTTACCATCTGAGCCACCAGGGAAGCCCCTAATTAAGTAGGCAATTACTTCCCAAAGCAAGTATTTCCTACGCCATCTTATCCCACGTGAGGCCTGAATGCATCTTTCCAGGATTTGAGGAGGAGCCCCGCGAGGCAGAAGCTTCTGCTCTGGGGAGGGCTGAGCTGGGGCTCATGCTCAGTTTTAGCTGGTCCTCAGGACAGGCCACCAGCTTCCTCACTTCCATGGGCTGATCTCACTTTTCCATTTTGTCTACCTTTAGCCTTCACTCATTCACTCATCTTTTCCATGCAACAAGTATTTCTTATACAACTACTACACCTTTATCGAGAAAGCCCATCACTTCAAATCCTTCGAAGAGGTGAAAGGACAATAAAATAAGGAGATTCCATATGTGTAATATTCCGAGTCCTTAAATGTGTTCATCTTCCTCGACTATCAAGAGGTGAGAATATTTTGTGGCCTGTTGAATTCCCTTTTGTCGTCTTTTATTATTGTAAGATCACTCCAGCTTTGCTGCAGGGAAAGAACGGATGCAACTCACTGAAGGTCAGTCTATCTCCCCTTGACATCAACATACATTGATGAGTGAGGACTCAGGGACTTGGTGATGGACAGGGAAGCCTGGCGTGCTGCAGTCCATGGGGTGGGGTCACCAAGAGTCGGACGTGACTGAGCAACTGAACTGACTGACTGAGGACATAAAACTAACCACTACAGGTTATGTGACTCATGTTATCCATGACCCTTACTAGCATGGAAAACTGGGACAAGATAGTGCTTCCTCCCTATAATTCTGGTTAGTTATCTCCCAGGGATGGAGCTGTGCAGAGTGAGTCACCCCTGGGTCATGCAGCAGAAAGCTTGGGAAACACAGAAAGTGCCTTACAGCCTGAGAACAGCAGGCACTGCCCCGCCGAGCCCCACTGAGACTGCTCTCGCCGGACACAGACGCCTGTGAGAGAAACACACTGTCAGGACAAGGTGCCTTCCTCTCCATTGGCCCCCGGGAAACACTGAAACGTAAGCTAGAGAAAAGTGACATGTGCTGAGAACAAGTCCTCAAAACATCATGATGGCAGACATGCATCAAAGGCTCAAAACCACCTCCACAGGCAAAGACGGTGCAGCAAAAAACAGGGTCGTGCAAAAATCTGGGAGAGAGGAGTTTTAGTTGCTGTCAACGGGCATGCAATAGAATTTCCAATAGCTCCTTTAAATCGGATTCTGAAAAATATTCCTTGTTAAGTAAAAAGTTGTTAGTACAGACTTAAAATGAGCAGATAGTTCAAACATTCTGAATTTTATCACGGCATCCTCATACTTGACTCTTAGAAAGTTACTCCAATATGAAGTGACTTTGGAATAAAAACAGCATGGTGATTAGAGCTCAATATTTTATCATTCTTTGAGAAGTGCTAACTAAAGAACAGAACATTTCATCAACTTGAAAATCCTATATAATTAATCACTGAGGGCAAACAGGAGTTTACAATATATGGAACTTAATTTCCCCCATTTTCCCTGGAGGACACAGTGGGTTTGCTGGGCCAGTCAGACATCTAATTCATAAATGTGCAATTGGATGGTAATTCAGAAAGTTATTAACAAGAAGAATACAGTTACTTTAAATACTTAAATTTCCTGCAGGGTATTAATACCTTGTATTTAAAACTGCAAATTTCCCAAAGTAATGTAGAATAGTGGATTCATATCTGTTAAGGATAGCAAAGCAATAAAGAGCTTTGGTTTTGCCCACAGATTAAACGTTGCCAGTAATTTTTTCCTGCCTAACCATCTTATGCAGACACGTGTCTTCCCCAGTTATTGCCATCTGTCAGAGATGTAAACCCCAGATCTGGGCAGCGAGGGCTGCACGTGTAAGCTCCGAGTAAAGGGGTGATTCACGCTCACAAGGCAGGCAAACAGGTCAGTCCAAGGCACTCAAAGCAGGTGCTCGGTGGGGGAGGGGCGCGCATGCGCGGTGAGGGCGCGGAGTGGGGGCGGGGTTGCGGGGCGGGGGCGGGGTTGGGGGGGTCGGGTTAGGCGGGACGGGGTGGGGGGTTTGCGGAGAGGCTAAGCGGGCGGCAGAAGGGACGGGGTGGAGGGAACACGCACCCGGTTACTCCCCGCCGGCCGGGCAGCGCTGTACAGGTAGGAGGGCTGGAGGATGAAAGCAAATGTCAGGTTTTTAAACCCGTGAAAAAACAGCAACAGGTAACAGTGACAAGGTCGTCACGATGTTTCCAGTGATCATCACAGCCAAGCAACTGTACAACCGTCAGAAGGAAGAGGGTCCAGGGAGGTACCCTGCTTTCAGTAAATCTGACAGAGGGAAATCCACATTTACAAGGAAAATAAATTTCTGGCTTTAAAAATAGTAAACTTTCCCCAGAACGTTGGAAACTATGGCTATTTTCTCGTCATTTCTTTTCAGGCATTCCTGGAAGAAAGGGTCAGGGAAGGAGACAGATGGTGACAAGGTCAACAGCACCCACAAGAGCCCCAACCCCGCAACTCAAAAGTCCCAGGTGAAGAAAGCGGGTAGGAGCGTTTGATGCACAGATGTCCCTGGAGGAGGAGCGGTGTGGCGGGAAGAACCTGCTTCCTTGTGTCGGAGGATCCGTGTGACTGTCTCCAAGATACAGGAGGAGCTGTGAGGCTCTCAGCTGCTCAGGGGTTGGGTGGGGGGCACGTCCTCGTCACAGGGGAGCCCACACCCGCAGCAAAGTCCACGGGCTCGCTGGGACACACAGGTGGCATGCTGGTGTGGCCTGGGCCTCGGCTCAGAAGAGCATGCTGACCTGTTCGCAGGCAGACTCTGCCCGGGAGAGCCCGAGGCTCGGGGCCCCAGTGGGTCAGGGGAGGTGCAGGACTGGGGAGGGACCCCTCAGGGCACATGGGGATGCGAGGACGGGCAGCTCAACCTCCGTGACGTGATCCGCTCCTGGGGCCCGGACTCCGACTTCCTCCCAGAGCACCGGCCTCCTGTGCCTGGGGCTGAAAATGCCAAGCGCCTCGCAGGCCTTGTACAAACAGGAAACAGGGCGGGGAGCCAGCCAGAGAAATACGGCCGCTCTCCCCACTGTCCCGGACGGAGGAGTCCGGTTATGCACAGAAACCTTCCAAATTGCTTCCTGGACACATTTACAAGAGCAAAATGTTTTTTTAAAAAAAACAAAGGAAACCCCAAATGGGGCACAATTGCTGGAAAAGGAGGAGAGACCCAAGAGACCAATTTTTTGGACTAGAGCTCTTGAAAATATACATTCAGTAGATCCTCCTTTTTCCTAAGCTTCTTCTAAAAAAAGAAATGTAAGGTCTTAAATTATTTTTGATAATGTTTTAAATGGTTTGAGAAAAGTCTTCAGCAGTTAGGCCAGTGGAAACACACTACTAAGCTTGGCTCCTTGGACGTCACGTGCAAGAGGTTGAAGCGTCCGTGTCCATTCACTCAGAATTAAAGTCACAACAGAGGGAGAAGAGGGAAGAGTGAGGTAAAAAGCAGAACAGACCCGGTTTCCATTCTGGGCAGACAGGGGTTTGAGAGCCAGGCCACGACTGCGAAGCCCGAGGTCTGAGCAGGAAAGTCCCTGGAATCAGAGAAAACGGGCTGGAGGTGGGGAGAAAGCTTACAGCTTCATTTAATCTCAAAGGCACCATCAAGGCACACCAAATCGGCTTCCGCAACAACATCGGGAAAGGACATGCACTTGGGGGGCAAGAGAGAGAGGCGGGAAGGACACAGAGACAGTTCAGTGAAGTGACAAAACTGTGACCCGGGACCAAATCAGGCCTTGGAGTCTACGCACAGGGAGAGGCAGAGCTCATCACTTTGAACTGACAGCAAGGCCCTAGGGGCTCTGAAGGTCTTTTTAATGCAAATTCTAATATTTAACATTTGGTGGGAAAAACTCAAAATCAGGAGTTTACAGAGATGGTAATCTCCCTTCTATGCAGCCAGTTGGAGATGATCTGCAGCTTGGGAGTCCTTGGTTAGGTATGAACATGCTACATGTGCTCAGGGCTCACAGAAGATATGATTGACTCAGTGGTACAATTCTGAGGCCAGCAGTCTATACAACATTTCCGGGGAATATTACTAGATAGATGAATAGTTTCTATCCAAAGTGTCCTATCCACACGGAAGGATCCTTGACAAGGGTTCCAGCTGATCCCCACCTCAGCAGCATCTCCTGACGGTACAAAGCCTGGGCAGTGCTTGAAGGGGATGAAGTGATGCTGTTGAAACAGCTTGATGGTCCCTAAGATATTCCACTGGGGCCTTGGGGATCCCATAACTGGAGCCTGCCATCCATGTGCCTTGAAGAAACTACCCTAGAATGACCTGAAGGACAGGTGAGTGGAATTCTGGGGTGGGCAGGTAGAAAGTTTCTAACATTTAACATGAATCCGAAAACTGTTTCAGAGGTTGAGAGAATGCCCTGCGTAGAAGCCACCCTGTCAACCTGTCAGGGTCACAGAAAGAGCCCAAGGCCTCCACCTGACACTGCACGGTCACGTCCAGGGCTTGCTTCTGGCAAGTCTAAGACGAGACAGGGTCTTCAGAAGGGAAGACAGTATCATAGTACTGAAGACAGTACTGCAGGCGGCATGATTCCTGCCCATCATTAGCGTAAAATCAAATCAAAGCAGCCAGTGTGTTTGCAGGAATAGCTATGGCTGCTGCAGAGCCCAGGAATTATCAGGAAGCCTCCGGGGGTGGTGAGTAACATGTGGTCTCAGGCAGCTTCACGGTGGGGACACAGGGCCTTCGGGAAGTTCTGATATTTTGGGTTTTGAACGGGCCAGCTCTACTTTTTATACGAGTAAGTGTGTTGGTCAGTCGTGTCTTGACTCTGTGATCCTATGGACTTTAGCCCACCAGGCTCCTTTGTCCATGAAATTCTCTAGGCAAGTATACTGAGTGGGTTGCCATTTCCTTCTCTAGAAGATCTTCCTGACCCAGGGTTTGAACCCGGGTCTCCCACACTGCAGGCAGATTCTTTACCATTTGAGCCACCAGGGAAGCCCCTTATATGAGTAAACCTTTTATTTATTTTTGGACAGCTCTACTTTCTACCTTAATACTTTGGATGTGGGTTATTTCAACTGAATTTAAAGGAGTCAGATATATGCTGAACTTTGGTGACTAAATCACATCCGAGTATTAGATTTCTTTCATTGTCTTCTATGTTAGAGAAAGTATTTAAGCTTGGAAGATGTGGAGGAAGTTAAGTTTTCTGAATGACAAAGTGCTCTTTTCTGCAGCAAAATCTCCCACTGGATTAAGAAAATGCCCCCAATACACAAAAAATTAATGGTGTCAAACCCCACCAGTCCTTGGGTATTAACAGTTGATCCTGTACTCAGTCGGAATTCACCTCCTCGGGGAAGGAGGGGATGGATATTCATCATTACAGGGGGCTGGGGGGCAGCAGTGGGGGACTGGGAAGTGGGCAAGCTGACGGGGTGATGGAGGAGCTGGAACCCCTGCCTCCCTCACAGCAGGAGCAGAAAGTGGGAAGGGGCTGAGGTCAGGGGTGAGGACCACGGTTAGAATACTGTGGCTCTGCCAGGTTAGTTTCTATTTATTTTTCCCCTCCCCATGTATTCTTTAAGAGTCAGTTGACATCCTTGTGTTATGACACTTCCTGGCAAAATTAAGTTTCCGCTCCAGTGTATCCCATACAGGGATCTGTCCTCTGTTCTAGAAGTAAATGCTTCCAGAGGACCTAACGCGCCTGCCTGTCTCTGTGACTGTCCCACTTACACTAGTCCCCTAATGTTTGCTGAGTGAACACGAGCCTTACTCATCAGGGCTCTTCAATAATTGAGAAATATGTGCCTATCAAGGTTGATTGTGTTCTTAAAGTATGGGAAGGAATGCTCCTGTGTAGACATTTGGATTGGATTTTCATTTCAAGTCTAGTCTGTTCCTGTAAAATTACCCCATGTGTGCATTTACCCTGCAAGGTCAGTCTGCTTTCAAGAACTCTCAAGGAAAGAATTTCAAGGCTTTCTTCTTTTTTTCCCCTTTGATTAATTCTAACTACTAAATATCCACCTATTTTCTTTCACTGTACCTCGCCTGACACCACAATGTGTATTCCAACATTCAAATCTGAAATCAAACGCAACGTAGTGGGGTAAATCTGAACTAAAGATATCATGTTAGTTACTGCTCCTAAATGGACCTTAACAGTTATGCGAATGAAACTTCATAGAACAGACATTAAAAGAGAAAGAGAGCTGAGTTTACACATGCAAGAGCACATGCTACAAAACCTGCAACTTCTGAAGTTAGGATGGGAAAGATTTAAGGGGAGACCAACCAAGGTGTCCTCTCTGGATGATGACAAAGTGGAGAATCGGCTATCACCGCTGTAGCTGGAATTCTGAGCAGCAAAGAAGACAGTGTAAGTGATGAGAGCTTTCTCACTCCCCGCAAAGCACCACCGGTCCCGGTTAAAAGGCGACTATGCGATCACACAGCTAGACCGGTGTTAGTACTCCAGGACTGGCAGGCAGCTAGAGAACAGATGTGCTCCACGACAGCAGAAACCCTTAACCATTAGGGGCCTAAGCTTTGTTCTACATTCCAGTGTTTATGTCTCAGTGATGTCGTGTGATGATTTAACTATCACCATTATGGTTTCACTATTTATATTTAACTGTACCCGTTCATTATTATTTGTAACTACTAACTAAATCTCATGGTGGACCGTCTATAACCTCAGTCTAGACTTCCCTTACTATTGGGTTGGCCAAAAAGCTCACTTGGGTTTTTCTGTCAGATGCTATGAACTTTTTGGCCAACCCAATGCACTTCTTCGTCAGTAACTGACACTCCACTTATTGCAGTTTTCACTCTCTGCTCAGCTCAGCACATCTGAGGGCTACAGCTCAGCTCTAAAGCTCCAGGGAGGCGAGTGGAGCCTGAGGGACGCGGCACCCTCTTGCAGCTGAGAACCAGCCACAGAAGGCTGGGCCCTGCTGTCCCCCTGTGGGGTCTCAACACACACTTTTTATTAGAGAGAAGATCCCACCAAGACTGTGGCTGGGGAGGTGGTGTGTGTGAAGGTTACAATGCACGCACGCAAGCTTGACTACTTCAGTCATGTCAGACTCTTGGCGACCCCACAGACTGCAGCCCGCCAGGCTCCTCTGTCCATGGGATTCTCCAGGCAAGAATGCTGGAGTGGGGTGCTGTGCCTTCCTCCAGGGGACCTTCCCGGCCCAGGGATCGAACGCAGGTCTCTTACATCTCCTGCATGGCAGGTGGGTTCTTTTACCACTAGTGCCACCTGGGAAGCCCAAGATGCTGCTTTAGAAGTAGGCTATTTGGTACTTGGGTCATTCTACTTCCTGATTATTTATTAAATCAATTTTATATCCAATTTTGCTCTGCAGTGAACAGTTTGATGGTCAAGTTCTTTTCTATTTAATTTCTAGAGGCATTACTTAACTTAATCATGAAAGCACAAGGTGCACCTTTATTGTTTCAATATAAAAATCAAAGATTAAAATGTGTGGATATATATAACATAGAGCTTGATGCCACCTGTGCATCACAAACATGCTGCCAACTACACGTTTGGGACGCTCTAGAGAAGACTGGGATACTGGGTGGAAGTTGGACTAAGAAACTTCTAAAGTAACTTCCAACTCTAAACTATGAATCTTTGTGATCAACACAGTGGAATAACGCCTCTAGGGTGGTAAGTTACTGACTAGTCAGTTTAACCCCAACAAGCAGTCAAGGCCGTCAGAGTTCCCGTCCTGTGATGTCCGCCCTAGACAGCCTGCAGGGACGCTGAGCACAGGAAGCAAAATTGTCAACATCCCACGAAAACAGAATGGCTGCAACCTGCTTCTGTCCCTTGAGTGCTGTATCACCTAAAAGGAAAACAGAGCTCGAGACAGTCCAAGGCTGTCAGTGCAAAAAGCAACATAAACAGGAAGACAGAGCCTTTAAAGTGGGAGGATCCTTTAGCTTGGAATGGGAAAAACTTAGATGAGACAGAAGTGTATGCAATCCTTAATAGGGACGAGCAGGCAGTAAAACCTGATCAACTAGTTTCAGAAAGCTAAGAGGGTGCTGAGTTACCCCTTTGGAACCTGAAAATATGATTTTAAAAAGTATATCTAATATTTCTTAATAAAATATAACTAAGATAAATGAAAAGAAATACTATTTTACACAACTAGTAGAATTTATTGTTGTTAATTCACTTTAGTCGTGTCCACTTCTTTGTGATCCTATGGACCGTAGCCCACCAGGCTCCTCTGTACATAGGATTCTCCAGGCAAGAATACTGGAGTGGGTTGCCATGCCCTCCTCCAGGGGGTCTTCCTGACCCAGGGATTGAACCAGAGTTTCTTGGGTCTCCTGTATTGGCAGGTGGGTTCTTTACCACTAGTGTCACCTGGGAAGCCGAAAAAGTCCCTTGGACTGCAAGGAGATCCAACCAGTCCATCCTAAAGGAGACCAATCCTGAGTGTTCATTGGAAGGACTGATGTTGAAGCTGAAACTCCAATACTTTGGTCACCTGATGTGAAGAGCTGACTCATTTGAAAAGACCCTGATGCTGGGAAAGATTGAGGGCAGGAGGAGAAGGGGACAACAAAGGATGAGATGGTTGGAGGGCATCACTGACTCAATGGACATGAGTTTGAGTAAACTCCGGGAGCTGGTAATGGACAGGGAGGCCTGGCGTGCTGTGGTTCATGGGGTCGCAAAGAGTCGGACATGATTGAATGACTGAACTGAACTGAACAAGAAAATAAATGAAGTCAAGAAAAACAGGAAGATTTTAGATAATGTATAAGAGATGTGCAGCAGGTCAGGAAAACTAAATTCAAATGTGCCCAATTTAACCACCTGAGATCCCCAACGACCTCCTTGACAAATCCTAAGGCCTCTCCCACTTCTTTCTGCCTGCTCTGCTCTTGTTTCCTTTCTTCTTTCTCTCCACGTACAGCCTTTCTCTGCTTCTCTCCTGCTTCCCACCCCAGAGCTGTGAGCACCGCGAGCATCAGTGTTTAGCAAAACACAGGCTCTAGTACTTGTGTCTTTGAGGTTACAAAGGATCAACGTGGAGAATTGTGAAAATGTCGAATTTAAGTGTATTCGAGAGCTGAATATATTAATATGCACATTATACACATACACCCAGGGCAATAAAATAAAGAGAGAGCTAATATTTAATCGATCTTTTAGTACCTAAGAGATTCCTTTCAACATTGATCTCTTAAACTAACATTTAGAATGTTAGAAGACAAATAGTCTAAGACCGGTAATCAGTTGCAAAACATTAGCTTTCATTCTGTCATGCGCACACACAAAAAAAGGGAACTAGTTTAACACAGAAAAGAACCAAAGAAGCTATTAGCAGTCTTTTTAAAAAAGCTTTGCAGCAACCTGTTTGAGTCTTGTGTCATGCACGTTTACTATACGAACCCTGCCAGATCTTCTACTCAGGGACTGTGATCCATATAAGTCTCCATCATACCCATTTGTCTGTGTCAAGGAAGAAAAGGAGAGAAGCTGGCATCAGTACACAAAGGAAGAGACAGGGACAGACTGGCAAGGAAGAGTTAGCCCGGTGCAGACTGAGTTTCTGGAGTGGAGCGGATGGGCACGCCCAGCAGAGCCCGGGTCCCAGCAGGGCCCCCACCGGCTCCATGCTTCCGAGCGGCTCCTCTGCGGCTCAGGAGACGCCAGCTCTGTTCGGGAGTCAGAGCTGTCCTGTTAGGGTCAGTGGAGACCTCAGGGCACTCACTCAGGGATGGGAAGCAACGCCACGTCTTGGTGGACTGAGGCGCACCGGCGGGACGCACTCGCGTTCCAGTTTTGTGGGGGTACTGCGGGGATCCCAGCCTTCGAGGAGCCGGAATGCTAGCCAAGACGGCTGACACCTCCATCTGAGTCAACTAGTTTTCAGCTCTTGCTTTGGCATGATACCCTTAAAACTGCGGCTCATTATGAAGCTGTGCTCAGAAGACTCAGAGAGTGGTCTACCCAATTCATAATTAAATGCAAACGTTCATCGTGGAAAAACTAATCTATATTAGGCTTTCATTCATTCAGTCTTCCTACTTTTTCAAAGTGAAATCTGAGGACGTATTTCATAATTTGTTCTCCAGGAAAAAAAGAGAGAATGATTAAGAGTGTGTCTGTCTCCCTGTCCTCCCAAGGCCTCGTCAAGGTTTGCTCGGGATTCTATAGCTGCTCTCATCCACCTATAAGGATGCCTGCTGATTCCAGATGAGAGTGGTCAGGTGTCAGGGGCACAGCCAGCACTCGAGTCGGAAAAAGGAGGCGCAACGGCGAAAACCGGAAGGAGATGCCAGGGCAGGGGCGGGGCACACGTGAGTCCAGACTCCAAGAAGCAGCTCTGTCACGTGACCTTAAGCAAGTTACTTCATCCACTGGAACTTCCACCGCTGTGGCTGTGAAACGTGTGGTGTAATAAATACTCTACAAGGCCCTTATGAGGATTAAATCTGATTAAAGTGAGTGCCTAGATCACGGCTGACTGTGAAGGACGTGCTGACCAGATGGGTGAGCCCTAGCACACAGGGAGGACCAGGGCATGCCTCCCTGTTGGAAGGGTGCGGGTAGGCAGACATTCTATGCAGCTGTGATGGGAGGACCAGGGCATGTCTCCCTGTTGGAAGGGTGCAGGTAGGCAGACATTCTATGCAGCTGTGATGGGAAGACCAGGGCATGTCTCCCTGTTGGAAGGGTGCGGGTAGGCAGACATTCTATGCAGCTATGATGGGAGGACCAGGGCATGCCTCCCTGTTAGAAGGGTGCAGGTAGGCAGACATTCTATGCAGCTGTGATGGGAGGACCAGGGCATGCCTCCCTGTTAGAAGGGTGCAGGTAGGCAGACATTCTATGCAGCTGTGATGGGAGGACCAGGGCATGCCTCCCTGTTGGAAGGGTGTGGGTAGGCAGACATTCTATGCAGCTGTGATGGGAAGACCAGGGCATGTCTCCCTGTTGGAAGGGTGTGGGTAGGCAGACATTCTATGCAGCTATGATGGGAGGACCAGGGCATGCCTCCCTGTTGGAAGGGTGCAGGTAGGCAGACATTCTATGCAGCTGTGCTGTTGATGAACATAAATACATGGATTTCCAGATATTATAAATCCACGTTCAGGAAACCTTAACTATAAAATTATGTATTTACTTGTGTTACAACTCAAAAGCAAGTCAATATGAGGTTTCCAAATGAAATGGAGTATGTAGAAATCCTTCAAAAGTAAAATTTAAAACTATGAGTACATTAAAACATTTCTGAAATAAATCTGATAATAAAAAATCTTTAGAGGTTGGCAGACATTTTATTCAGTCTACCTTCCTTTTTTTCTCTTGACTGATGAGATTATTTGAAATAATCTTAAATGTCAAGGACTTTACATTGCAGATCTCAATCTTATTCCTTTGATATCTGTTTAGAAACTAGTTTCTGGAAAAAAATTAATATAATATTGAAGGCTAACATCAATAAATTTTAGGTGACTTTTACTTTAGTAATAAACAAGGAAGAAAAAGTATTGCATACATAAACCCTCTGGCTGTCCATTATTGCTTACAACATACATACTGCTTTAGATGAATTTTTCCTTTCCTCTTTTCTCTCTCCAATTTAGCCTGCAGCATGAAGCAGAGGGCAGGTGGGGCCTGGGAGGGCAAAGGCACTCCTTCAGTTGTCCCTGTCTATTCTGGCCTTCCATGAAAATGCGGGAAAAACCCTTCTTTTGAAGGCTTTGTGGAATATCCACACTTCTCTGTTGTAATGAAATTCTGTCACAGAGAATGTATTCCTACAACATATCCTCAACCCAGAGATCTCACTGACAGCATCTCTAGAGTGAGACTCTCTCTGACATTCTTAGCGAACACACCAACTTTCTCCTCTTGGGTAGTTTTTCTGTGTTGAATTCAGGTCGGTGGAACCATTTTTAGTGGCATAAGAGGATAATAAGGAGAGTTGAAACTTAACTATCACGACATTAGAACAAAAAGTCCAAAGGAGGCATATCACCTTCATCAGGTCTCTGATGTTCACCTAGCTTTGCTCTATAGAAATTTTTTTCAGCACTCTTCACTGCACAGACCCCCTACATCCTGGTCACCCCTAAAACATTGGAATCCCCAGAGGCCTGGGAATATGCATCTTAACAAGCTCTCCAGGTGAATCTTTCATACAGTAACATTGAGAAGCACTGCTCTTAAGAGACAACAGAGGAAAGAGACATTTACCAACCAGCATTTTCTGGAAAAGGATGAGCAAGACACAAAAAGAGATGCCCCATCAAAACCAATGAATCTAATGGTAACTTCTAATTAGTCATCTAATAACACGCAGTGCTGTTAAAGCATCAACCAATTCCACACATGACCATGCAAAAGGCAACAGTTATTAGATAGGTTTTTTTAAAAAATTAATGTGTGTGTGTGTTTATGTGCTCATTCATGTTTGACTCTTTGTGATCACATGGACTGTAGCCCGCCAGGCTCCTGTGTCCATGGGATTTCCCAGGCAAAGAAAACTGGAGTGGGTAGCCAGTCCCTTCTCCAGGGGATCTTCTCAACCCAAGGATTGAACCAGGGTCGCCTGCGTTCCAGGCAGATTCTTGACCATCTGTTTCTACTAGGTCAGAAGACAGGGCACCTTCAAGGGCACCAGGGATGGGAAACAAAAAAAGAAAGGCAAAATAAAAGCTTTGAAGGGCACTCAACACACTCAACTGAGTTTTGAAGTGGAGAACAGCAGCCCCACGGGGTGGCTCTGGGGACAAATGTCTGTGCAGAAGAGCTGTTTCTGTGCCCTGTTAATTATCATCTTAAGGGTAAACATGTATTTTAAAAACGGGAGTTTGCTGAATAATTTTTCAGCACAATGGAATGAATGAAGCACAAAATCTTTTTGGAAAAAAATCCTTCAAGCAGAGAAGTGTATGATCCGACATAATTTCAGTGCTGAGTCACTTTAATGCTGAGTGTGATTAATGCTGGTGAGATTACATTTTTCTACCTTGGAGTGTAATTTAAATTTATAAGTTTAAAGAACACATAAGCTGCAGAAACTCTTCTAGACAGATGTCAGAAGGGAAATGCTGAAGTTAAAGGCTTCGTTTTTGTTACTGAATTTGGGGTCTTTCTCAAAGAGCACTTTCTGGCCAAAGAGCCATCTGGGACATTTAATTTGAAAAGATACAGATTAGGAAATAATAGATTTTTTTCATTAGATAAAATGACTTTAAATTTAATCTGTTACAGGAAATGTAGAGGCTTGGGAATTCTTGATCTTATTTGAGTTTTCCTGCAAGGAGACCCGGTGTCTTCCATCTGGTGCCCAAGGCTGCTACCCCAGAGTCTGGCAAACAGTGATGCTTGTAGGCTGCCTGGTGAAGGAGATGGTCAAATACCCACACCGGGACTGTGGACAGGTGGAGGGTCAGAGCTGCAGGGAGGCTCTGGGAAGAACAGCTGTGGGCACACCAGTGGCGGTGTCTGCCCGCTGGCCTCAGTCTCCAGGAAAGGGCTGGAGGGGGGCATGTGTGTCTCTTCGCACAAAGATGAACTTGGCTTTTTAGACAAACACCCGCAATATTAGTGGACACACCACAGGTTATTGTCTGCCAGGCAACACTATTAGGATCAGAGCACATCTCACCCAGGCGTAGGGACCCCCGTACTCCAAGTCAGGCTGCGACTGTCGGAGGAAGGATGGAAGAGAAAAACAACAGAAGAGAGTTGCCCCAAATCAGGTAAAAAGCGAAGTACAATATAACGGAAACATAAAGCAAGCAATCTTGAAAATCTTAAAATCAATTTTCTTCATGACTTCTAGGATCTCATCTGAATTACAAACACAATTACAATAGCATGGCAGCTACCATAAAAGCCATTAATGTTAAATAAGACTTCCATGGCAGATGTTGCTATAATTCGTGAAATCTGAAGCATTCTGAACAATCCTATTTCCTCCCCTACCTAGTGCATTCCATTTACATTAGACAGGTCCATAGATGCATCACTATCAACTTTTAAATAAAGCAAACTTAGATTTATGATATCTAAATCTAGATTTTCTGAGGCTGTCCATACAAACACTAGAAAAAAAATTTCTTCCATTTTTAACGACTTATCATCACTGGGAATGGAATGAAGATGGCCTGTGTTTTGAGAAAGCCAGGAGATAAAAGATATGGTTTTTGAACTTTGCAAACTATTAAGATTTTCAAATATTAAGATATGTAAAATAGCAGAAATTGGTCCTACCCAGAGATGGACTGAGACGAACCGCCCTCAGGCGGCAATGGGGAGCCTTGCTCTCCCACCAACCTGGCAAGACCAGAGCTTCGGGCCCCTGAGGGGATGGAGAGGTGATGCGGTCACAGAGCCTTGGCCCCGAGTGGCCTCCTCAGTTGCTCTGGGCTTTTTCTATATGGATAAAGATTAGAAGGTTTGACTCTCATTCCCAGGATCCAGGTTCTCAAGGTCTGCGGTTTTCATCTTTAAAATCTTTAAGCTATTCCTTTAGATCAAGAGCATCATGGGAAAGCGTCAAGGAACACACCCTCCGGCTAACGACAAATACCACCCACCACCAACTTTCCACTTTCTCCCCTCTCTTACTCAGCGTCCGAACTGTGGAGGTCCTCTAAAATTTTATATCCTAAAACAAACACACTTGATATCTTGGCAGAGAAAGGCGTCCAGCATAAAAACTTAGCTCATTTCTGGTTAAAATCCTCAAAAATGAAATAAATGCTGTAAACAGCCAAACAGTAACTAATAGTACAACAGTTTTAAGGGGATCAGTAAACCCTCCGAGAATCTTAAAGTGAACTGATTATTTTCCCAGAAAAATGCAAGTACATAAAAAATCTTGAATACAAGTTCAAGGAGTATCACAGATGGAAAATGCTGTTTTGATAGAGAGATCTGGGCCCCCAAATAATCAGGTTTTGCTCTATTTCCATCAAAAGCTCCCTTGTGGACCTCCTCATGGTGTGGAGGCTAACGGCCATGTGAGTCCTGTGCTCACATCATCAGCCCCCTCCTCCTTGAGAAAGTATCCTCTTCACTTGGTTTTAAGGACCTGATCTTCTCCGGGGTCTGCTCAACAGCTGTACTTTCTGTCCCTTGTCTACAGATTCTATAAACTGAGTTTGCACAGATACTGTTTGGGTTACATGAATCTTACTTCCTCTTGCATGAATCATGTCACAGCACAGAGGAGGAATTTATAAGGAGGTGGCTAAGGAGAAAGAAGGTTTCAAATAGAAAGGAAGCTCTTTGACTTCACCTTTAAACTGTAACTTTCTGGCGAGATCACCACGTATCTGCTTTTGGCACTTCAAGCACAATGACCCACTGCTTATACCAGAGCAACAAGGCACAGCCGTCCTTCAGTATCTGTTGGGGGGTCAGTTCCAGGACCCCCACAGACGCCAGAATCTGCACATGCTCCAGCTCCTAATTCAAAATTGCCTAGTTTTTGCATATAACCCATGCACACCCTCCTGCATACATTCAGTCATCTCTAGAGTCCCTACAACACCGAATACAATGTAAATGCTATGTTGTCGTTCAGACAGGAAGTCACAAAGTCATGTCTGACTGCTATGTGAGTAGTTGTAATTATAATGTCAAATGCTATGCAAATAGTTCCCAGTGCAGCAAATTCAAGCTTTGCTTTTTTGTAACTTTCTGGAAATTTTTCTCCTTGGCTATTTTTAATCTGTGGTTGGCTGGGTCATGCAGAACTTGGGGATAAGAAAAGCCAACTGCTATCACCTTTGTAGTTTTCTGTTACAAACAGCCAAATTAAACACACATTTAGTGCAAATATAAGAAGGTTAGGCGTGATATCACAACTTAAGTCATCAGAGTGATTAAAAGCGAGCCTTCTGCTCCTTACAGTCCTTCAGTAAAATGAGAGGCTGTGTTGAGACTGAATTATTACCAGGGAGATGCAGATTTAACCCGGTGGCAAATGACACTGATTCCATGTTGGAGAAAATTCCGGGAGATGGTGAAGGACAGGGAAGCCTTGCGTGCTGCAGACCGTGGGTTTGCAAAGAGTCGGGCACGAATGAGTGACTGAACAACAAATGACACTGACATGTTGAGTTTAACTCGTTGAGTTAAAGAACCAATAAGCCAAACACATTTTCTCTACTTAACTTCCCAAAGCACACCATGTTTTCAAGTATAATTAAGATTTTTGGAGTGTTTAAGGAAGGATGTGTATTTGTGTTTACCAACCATCAGGCTGTCCATGATGAGGAGATTCCATCACAGTTGATGAAAGGCAAGGCTGCTGAAGGCCCCATGCTAGATAGATTACATGTGCTCCGACCTTTCACCAGGCAGCCCACAGCAGCTTCCAAGGAGCCATGCAAAGCCTCACTGCATAAGTTACTTTAGCTTGTAGTTACTTCACTGAGATTCCAATTGGATGGGAGCCTGTACTGTCATAAGGACAGAATGTGTCTTCTGCTCCTCTCATCATACTAGCAATGAGACGACCTAATCTAAAGGGGCAGTTTGGCGATGTGGACCCAGCATGAAAAAACGATGACTTCCACTTTTGGGAGAGAGACACAACAAAAATGCTTATGCACGTCAATCAACTCTCTGCATCACAAAGAAACATCCCGCTGTTGGAGAGATTTTAAATAAGCATCTTGACAATGAACGAGGACCTTGAACACAGGGGTGGGAGGGCAAGGACCACGGACGCAGACAGTACCATGCAAACCCAGCCATCCCAGTTACTGACCCTCAGACTTCCGCGGCTACCCACTGACATGCGCTCATCTTCATCAGACGCCTAGTGAAAGAAAAGTGAAAACAACCATGAGGAGATAAGGTAACAAACATGACATGCCCAGCTCTCAGAGGAAAGCGGCCGACCTGACACACGGCCGGGGGCAGATCAGGCCCCTCTGAGAACCTGGGCGTTCACCAAAAGGGCTCTGTTTGTGCACAGTATCACAGGACTGTTTCTGGATAACACGGCTTTACATTAACTTCATTAAAGTGGTGGTGTTCACTTTGCTGGTTATGTACAATTATATAGCTTAATGCATATGACTGCAAACTATTTATGGGTATTCAACAGGAAAGAAAGCACTAAAACTGTAATGAACATATTAATACTCATTAAAACACTCATAAATACTGAGGAAATTTTCAAAGTCTCCTCTCACCAAAGTCAAGTCAAAATGCTAAAAGCTGAGTTTACAGTCTTTGTATAGGTAATCGTATCAGTGTTAATTTCTTAGATACAGATATAGACACAGATCTGTAGACAGATATATATACTTATAGATAGGTGGGAGGATAGAGAGATAATGAATGTTATTCCAGCCACTAGGACGGCCCAGCAGACTTCAGTGGAAACGCCGAGGGAACGAAGGAAGACAGTACTAACCGACGTGTTTCTTCTGGATCTGTGAGAATAGCGCTCACTCTCTTCCTACCAAAGCAATGAAGAGACAGCACAAAAAGGTTAGAGGCGGACAGGAGAAGCCTTAAGACAGTCGAACTGCGTCTCAATACAGTGTTTCTGATATAAATGTCACACAAATATTTACTTTGCTTAAAGGCTTCAATTAAACCACTGGGGGAAAATGTTTTCTTCTAAAGTGGGTGGGGGTGGAAGGAGGAACTTAAGCACACAAATCATTGGGATGTTTCATTCTGGCTTTAAAAACAAGCATGTGTTTGGTGCAAAGCAGGCTCTTACTTCTTTTTTTTCTTTCTAATCGAATCTGGTGCATTTAAATCAACCTACTTCTGACATTCAAAACCTACTCACTTCTGTTCAGGAATCAGAGAAGAAACCATTTCTGTAAGAGATCCAACATGGATGCCACCCTATCTACTATATTTTGTGCATCCTAAGATGCTTCATTTTGCATTTGGACTTCTCTGAAGTCGGGACATATAATCAAAGCTGCTCACAATTATAATTAGCATTTTCCTTCTCAGTGGTATATAAAACATGACACATCTTTTAACTGTGTCTTAAGATTTAGTAAATTTATACCTACGCCATATAAGCTTAAAATGATGGTTTACACATAACAGAGATTGAAGTTAATTGTTTAAATAGAGAAATTGTGTGCTCTTTTATTTCAACAACTGTTTTATACTATACACAGATCTCTAAGATGTAGGTAATTTTCTATTTCCTTAGATCATTTTCTGTATAAGGGACATTTAATAGGACAGCTGCATACTGGCCTGGTTCTCAAATGGTGGAAGGATGCAATGATGTCTGTGAGGCCAGCAAGCAAGGACAGGAGAGGTGGGGGCACTCGGGGGTGAACTGATGACCAGCGGACGGCTCTCAGAACCCACCCCGCTTCCAGAGTCTCCCACTGTGGGGCAACATCTCCGCCCGAGAGGCTTGTAAGGACGTATCATGAAGGGTGGGCCAGCTCTTAATTGACGAAGGAAGAACAAGCTGAGCCAGGAAACAGGGTGAGAAGGTAGAGGCATTTTCTCCCCCACGAGCTGTGGTTTCTCAGAGACAGTGCACGAGGCGAGCAGGGCCCAGCAGTGAAGGATAAAGGTCGGAAGGAGAGTGACGGGGCCGCTGACTGCAATCGGGAGTGGAGGCCACACAGCGCGTCCTCTGGGTTCCGGCTAAACCTGGCTAGACGGGACGGTCACGGGAAGGTTCTCACACTGGGGGGGCCCTGGCCCAGCCTGAGTGTCCCGAGTGGGGATCCTGCTGAGAGGAAACGGGGGAGGTGGCGGGGCTGGAGACCCCCCCCACGTTAGCCTGGAGGCCCCAGGAACCAGCCGCCTTGCCGGCACCGTTTCTAAGCAGCCTGCACGGGGGCTGTAAACAAGCAGACCAGATGCAAACATCCCCGGAAGGCAGCCTCTCAGTATTAAATTAGGGGCACCCGGGATCTAGCTATGCAATTACACTGTGGGAGAATGAAATCACAAACCGTTCCAAGCTTTGAAAAATCATATTTGAGGCCTACCATCCACTGCTCGATGTCGCCCCATTTTGTATCCAGCCCATAGTATTTCTGTAGACAAAAGGGAAAGAAGATGAGGCAAGAAGTGACACACGGTCTGTGTAGGACACTGTTCCAACATGCATTTTCCAAGCTGCTGCCCAAGCCCCAGGGTCAAGGGAACATGTCGAGGCAAAGCGGGGAAGAACAGGCGGGGCTCTGCAGGAGGCTGCAGACCGCCCCCCACACCACCTGTGAGCCTGGGAAGACGACCCTCCCCACCCAGGCAAGACAGGCCAGGACAAAGCATTGCTGGGGCGAGGGGGAGGCCTCTGCAGAGACCAGGAATTTAAACAGCCCAGCAGTATGTCAAGCCCCGTTGTCAAGCTGGTTGTGCCTTCAGAGAAAATGTACTGCAGCAATAAAACACTGTGTGTGCGTGCGTGTGGGTGTGTGTGCGTGTGTGTGTGCGCACGTGGGCTCAGTGGCTCAGTCGTGTCCGACTCTTTCGACCCCTGTTTAAGAGAAGCCAAACCGGAGAGCCATTTCTCTGTTGCTACAACAGGGATGAGAAAACCAAAGGAAAGGGGCAGAAATGATGTCCTGCTTCCTAGATTTCTGATACACTTGCTCCAGCCATCTGATATCTATGCTAAATTTAGTCCCTTAAGAATTTCTGGGCTGTGGATGTCTTTATAATATGCCACTGATGGCAAGATGGCCATGCAGCCTGCTGCAGAAGAGGTCTTGGTACAGGGGGAAAAAGAAAAAAGTTTGGCTTTTTCTTTAGCCAATATCTCCATGCTTTCACCTTGTCTGTCTAAACTGCAACTGCCCAAGTTAGAATTACAAAAGCAGATGCAGGATGGCTACTGTTGTCACCAAAATACAGCAATTCCTATTTAGGTGGGAACCCCGGTGGAGTCTTAAATAAAGGGGCTTTGCTCTTCTCCTCACTTTTCCCTCCATTTCCAATAAGAAAACCAAGAAACCACCATCTAAACCTCCGTATCATATAACACAGATATGATTTTCCTTTTGCACACGAAAAACTTAAAATCAGAGGGAGAAAACTGCATGTGAGAAGTGCACGACAACACTTGAAATTGTTTTACAATGACCCAAACAGGCTGCTGCTGTTATATTTGGTTTAGTTTCTGCTTATTTTGAAAGTCGGCCAGATTTAAAACATATGGCTCTTCAATGGTCTCGCCCCTTTCTCTTAGAAATGGTGGTAAGTAGAAAGTTTGAAGAAAATGAGGAGAGAACTTACCAGTGCTTTAAAAATTCAACCAATATAGAACCTGAGCAGCTAAAGCACATGAGCCAAACACTTTTCTGTAAGTTCCTTACCTTAGACTATAAATTGAGAAAGGAAATAAAAGTAAATACTTCCCACAGTCCTGTTTGAACATCAGTGTAAGTTAAACACAACTTTAAAGCTATTTTGCATTCAATTCATGCTAGCCCTACTTTCACTGTCAAACTCCAGGTATGAAAAGATTGACGCCATCAACCTTCCTTTATCTCATGCCTTGATTACAAAGATAGAAATTGTGGCTTTTAAAAAGGAATGGGCCTATAGAAACCAACAAAAAGTAAATTCCAAAAGAAGTCTGCGTTATCCATTTTTCTATTTCTGTCTTTTCCTTTTTGGCCAATTCTATACCTATGTCAAATACTGCATTCTACCTGTTGCTCTTTTTAGGACAAAAATAAGAACCAGTATTTAAAACCTTACATCGAGTTCACAGGTGGCCTTATAAATAGCTGCAGTAACTCTAGCTATGTTTCCAAGCCATCCGTGGGGAGAGGACACCCCTGGAAAAGCACGGTTAAGGAGTCATCCTGGTGTTAGTAGCAGGTGCGGGACAGCAAACCCTAGAAAGTGCACAACACTGCACATGCAGGCTGTGTGAGGAGATGGTGAGCCATGCAGAGGGGAGCAAAAGCCAGATGGGCGCACAAGAGCTGACTTTCAGAAACAGCTTTGATTCAACACAAGAGAAACTGTGATGCAGAAAGCCGCCGGGCGGGCACCGAACCTTCCTGCCTCCTTCTCCTGCGTCCCGGGTCTCAGGGACGAGGAAAGACTTCCCTTCCCTCGGACACATCTTTCTTATAATAATGGACATCTGCTTTTCCGTGGAGGGCTCCCTGAGGTCCCTTTAGTTGTACTGGGTGTGTGTGCTGTGCTAAGTCGCTCAGTGGTGTCCCACGCTGTGTGGCCCCATGGACTGTAGCCCACCAGGCTCCGCTGGCCAAGGGATTCTCCAGGCAAGAACACTGGAGTGGGCTGCTGTGCCCTCCTCCAGGGGACCTTCCCGACCCAGGGACCCAACCCAGGTCTCTTGCGTCTCCTGCGTTGGCAGGTGGGTTCTTTACCACTAAGGGCCCCCTGGGAAGCCTGTGTTGTGTGTACACGTGACCGCTCCGACAAGATTCTAATGGCGTATCCCTGGAAGTGAGGAGGAGACATTCTTGATCCAGCATCAGATAGGAATGAGTCAAGGCGAGACGACCAGAGAGGAGTCCCTGTCTAGGTTTTAGCTGACTCTGTCCTATTCCGTCGGTTACCGTGACAGTTCCCAGCCTTGCCTTTAGCCTGTGAAATTCTGACCTGGATTCTCTATGTGTGGTTTGGAACTCTAGCCTCAGTATACACTTCCAAGTGGACTCTGCAAAAACTAACAAAGTTCAAATAGATCCTGGCACTTTCTTAACTGGTCTCTTGACATTTTGGGGGATAATATTTATGCAGAGTGAGGGGGGCCGGGGGGAGGCAATTTGGAACTGCAGCTGGTAAAGGAATCCAGAAACAATTTTATTTTATTTTTTTCAAAATTAACACTGCATTCAATATTCTTATAAAGTGCCGGGTAGCTCCCAGAGGGCTAGTGAAGGCTGAGGAGACGTGTGCAGAAGGAAATGGAGATGCTACTCATTTTGTTTGTCTGGTGTACACTTCTTTGAACTCTAAATCCTGGTGAATGGGCATTTTCATTGAAGAATACCAAATGGAAATTTGGGGAATTGCTATTTGAGGCAATTTAGACTCTCCAGAGAAGGTTATGATTCTAAAGAAGTCAGAAGTGGCTCTGGGTTGGGGTCTAACCAGAGAGCAGCACTCGGGGCCGAAGCCTCTGGAACTTTAAATGCACTGATGTACAGTGTTTAAAGGGCTTGCTTTTTCTAACCCATGAGATTAGGTCACCTTGTTTTGATTTTATTAGTTGCTCTCAAAGACAAATATAACTCTTCTTTATCTATAAGCTAAATATGTTTGTAAACAAGAAACTATTCCAATTCATTTATGGGAAAGACTTCCTATCAACACTTTTCTATAAATCCTCAGGGAACTGTTCACGCCTTCCTTCATTATTGTTGGATCAGGAGTCAGTGACTTGGTTGTTTTTATTTTCTGTATCGGGACAGCTCAGTGCATTTATTTCTAAACCTCAGCTGCCTTTACAAAATACCCTTAGGAAAAAGAGATGCATGTTAGCACTCTGAATATTAGGGATGAAAGGCAGGTTGTTTTAAACTACTGGTTTTATTGTTATATCATCATTTTCTTTTTTTACTCAGTTTTAAATCAGTATGTAATAATTTCAATGTATGATAATATGTACTGAAATTTTCAACACTTACTATTAATAATAAAATTACATGCAAGGATACTCTTTCTTTTCAAATGTCTGATTCTAAATGGTTTTCCAAACTCTGAAGTGTGATTTTATTTTGTCTTAATTTTTTTCTTAAAGAAACAATTTTCCAATTTCTTGAGAAAAATGGAGATAGAAAAAGCATTCAGTACACAGAAATGTGTGCTGATGGCTGCTTTTCGTGGGGGGCTAACGTGAACACCTAAGCATTCGTGCTTAACCCAAATTCACTAATATGACAGTAAAAGAAGCAGTAAGAACTTTAATGAGTTCTCAATCAAAGGCATTATTTCTGAAAGGTGACCAGGTCCTTGGCAAGGGAAAAAGAGTACATGCAAATCAGAAAATAAATAAGGAAGATCCTACCTTTTGAACCTGATAGATCTTCAGAGAAGGGCAAAAGAAATCGGGAAAGAAATATAAAATTCAATTACAGAAGTAGAAAAATCAGAAAGAAAGGTTCTATAAGGACCTAGAAATATGAACCAAAGCCATATTGAAACAAAGCAAAAACTGGTAAAATGGAAATGCAAAAAATGCTCTTGTAGTCTCACTGAAATAATCAGCAGTTTCATAACAGATCTTACATTCTATTTTAGATATGTTGATGAAATACAGGCATGTCCACACAGTCTATGATAATCCTACTCTTAGTCTAATGCAAAATTTTGTGTTAACTAATACCATTAACGGGAAAAAGAACTTCATCCCCAATATAAAATTTCTTTTCCCATGATCAAAATTTAGCAAAAAAACATACAGAAATTTAACTGGAAAGTCAGCTGGTCAAATTCACAAAGAGTTAAGAAAATTTCTTTCATGTTCTGATTCATGCAGATACAAATCAGGAAAACTTCAGCCAAACAGATTGGATCACAAGGATAAAACTGAAACCAATTTTTTTTTTTTTGAAACAAATTTTGAAACGCTTATTATCATACCGGGACATACTAGTTTGCTCTAGAGGTTTCTCCTAATTTTGTAGTAATCCCTAGGTAAGACTGAGATGCCTATTCCATCACTCATTCATTCATTTATTCATTCATCCAACAAAACTTCTGCTGAGGCATGGTCCAAGGCACTGCTACAGCTATGACTTCAGACTCCATGCTTCTAGTCCTACACATGTGAGCAGAGATCAACATATCCAACACCTGTACTACATTAAACGTTCTATCTCCAACAGAAATGTTGATCAGGTCAGTAACAAGAGACACACCCTGATCATCAGATCACCTGGTCATCATACCACAATTTTTTTTCCCAATCGTTAAAGGCTCTCAGACAGAGTTAAAAATTTCCTAAAGAACATCTGCATATTCTCCCTAATAAATACATTAAGAAGGAGCTCATAGTCCTCTGAAACAGCCACAAAGCACAGTCATGCCATCGGTTCTCAGCATTCGCAGGGGTGAAGAGCACCTCTGAACCATTCAGTTGCAAGGCTGGGGCTGCCTGCACCACCTGGATGGATCGGCAGCCTGCTCCCAGCCCCCGTGTCCTCCGGGTCTGCTGGGTCTTGATGACAGATCCGCGCTCCTCCGGCACCGGTGGGGGGTGGGGGGGGGCACTCGGCTCAGCTCTCCTCTGTGTTCATTCTCTATGCCGGCCTTGGAGGCGCCCAGGCACCAGCATGGCTTCAGCCACCACCCACCTCCGACACCCTCCAGTGGTGTCGTCAGCTTCCTGCTCTCAGGAGCCTCCAGGGACCTCACCGCTCTCCAGGCGTTCACAGGCTCCGTCTGCCTGCTGCCAAGCCCACCTCCGTGTCACGGAAGGCCTTGGCCCTGCTCAGAAGCAGCGGTGGGGTGGCTGGCCACCAGAAGGAAAGAGGGGTCATGTTTCTCAACTTTTATACCGAAATACCAATGCGACAGGTTAAACATGGGTCTTCCAAAGCATATTCATTTCCACTTCATCAACAACTTAAAATGCCAGTGCGTCGGGCTGTCAGATTGTGTAACACAGATTGTGGGGCTGGATCTAATTATAGGCAGGTCCAGAGACATGATATGCGAAGGGGAGACCCAGGAGTATGCCTGCACGCCATCCTCCCTCCTGAAAGCACGGCCCCAAACCTGAAAGCCGTCTGCCTCCTCTCTCCAGATGCGCACACTTGTGGGCACACCTGTGCATACCCCCCCAGCCTTGGAGTTGGGTCACGTTAAGAATCAGCCAGACCAACAGCTGCTGTCCGTGTCTCTCTAACACTTGGGCGGACACCACGGCCTGTTCTGTGTTCCTAAGACTTGCCCTGAATCAGCACCAAGGAAAAAAACTGGTTTCTCAAGGTGCGCTTCTGCTTGTGAACCTCTGAGGATTATGTGGGTGTTTGCACTCCCACGCCACGTGAGCGCCAGCGTGCGCCCTGCCAGTGTTAATCCTGAGGTCAACACACTGGCGAGGCCCTTTGTTTTCACCGGTGATGACACGCCTGCTTTGGAGGCAGAGGGTGAAGATTACAGGCTCTGCAGCTTTTTCGGTTCTAGCTTTGAATCTTGGCTCGGCCACCTTCTCAGCTTCTGTCTAATTAACTGTCTAATTAAGGCCTGCTTTCCTCACCTGTCAATAAAACCCGGAGAGACCCTGTTCCAGATGGTGAGGGCACACAGGCCCAGCACCACCACACGCCGGGGAGCTCCAGGAGGTCCCTGCCGACGCCCTGCGCCACTCCAGTCTGCTTTGACTATTAACACACATCCATGTGTTTTATCTTAAACCCTCCAAGTCCCTTAGTTGAGGAAGCAGACAGAAACGGTCCATGGCAATGCTCTCCTGCCCCAAGGATGCTGGATTTATGCGAACGAAGCTGTCCTTGGTGTGAGTGAGTGCTCGTGGGCTCACAGGTCGATAAAAAGCTTGGGCCGAGCCAGGCCCCCCGTCCGCCCTCCAGCCTCCGCCATCCAGCTCTCTGCCCACAAAGCCTTCTTGCCCGTCCTGCCTTTCTCCACCGGCAGCTTCTCTGCTCGGTGTCTACACTCGCTGTGCTGACCAGAGTTAGTTTCTCTGCTTCCTCCCTGACACATACAGGGCCCCCGACTCAGGGTGTCCTTCTGTACCCAGAAAATTTTCAGTGTGGGGCGGGGTCGCCAGGCACGTGGTCTGACCCCGCGTTCAGCAGAGAAGGCGCCCTCGCAGTCCCCCTGCCTGTCCCCGAGCTCAGGGCAGGGAGAAGGGTCCTGCAGATGAGCCCCACACAGGGCCCGTTGAAAAAGGTGACGCTTACTGAAGGTACCTTCCAGGCAGTGAAGGCCGCTTTCCTCCGGGTCCTCACACTGAGACCCACACGCCCTGGAAACCTGTTCCCACACCTGAAAGTGTCAGGGGCTGAACGCTAAGAACTCCCCGGCCAGCACACTGCTTTCGTGAAAGATGTTCCCCGGAACCTGAATCACAACAAAACAGTTTCACCCTGTGACCATGTACGTTCTACTGTAAGAATACAGAGTTTCAGTACAAACTGCTACATAAAGAATGGATAAACAAGGTCCTACTATATACCATAGGGAACTATAATCAGATCCTGTGATAAATCACTATGGGAAAAAAAGACAAAAAAGAATATAAAGGTAAAACCGAATCACTTTCCCATACAGCAGAAATTAATACAATGTTATAAATCAACTATACCTCAATAAAATTAAAAAAAATTTTTTTGAAATTCTAATGGCATCTATTAACCAACAGCACTTGTGTGTCTGACCAAGGGAGGCAAACTGTGGCATTTTTTAATCAGATTTCCCAGGTTTTAATTAAATTCTCTCTGCAAAGCCTGAGGTCCTTAGCAGTCACCAGACGCCCGAGGGCAGGCCACGCTGCGCAGGAGCTGGGCCAGGTTGTTCAAGTCCTGGGGCTCCTCTGTCCCGGGAGCACGGTGGGCTGGGGGCAGGGCTGTGCCTGGCGGGGGACTCCACAAGGTCACTCCCCTGCTGACATCCAAAGCCCATTTAGCGATACTGAGATCAAATGGCTCGGACTGAATTTCCCATCTTTGGGTAGCAGCTGCAGTTTTGCAGCTCGAGGTATTGCAACTGCAGGGCAGGAGTTCAGCAAGAGATCACTCTGCAGAATTAACGTGGAACAGAGGGGGACTTCCCTTGACTCAAAAGAGAAAGAGGTGCTTTGCTTTTAAAGGAGGCACTTCAAATAGTTTCTTACTTAGCTTAATTCCTCTTAACCTTTATTTTCTAAAACAAGAACTTCTGCCAAAGAACTTTGTGAATAACACGCTGCTCATATGATCCAGTAGGGGCTGGCCAAAAAGTTCGTTTGGGAGCGCCCGGGAAGACTGGGATGAACTTTCTGGCCTGCCTAATATATATTTAATTCAATTCTGCCCATAATTAAGGATATAATATATTGTAATTTGGAGGATAGATATGTACACACATACTATGTAATTCACTTTCACCTTGATTTTGTAGAAACTTTCCCTTTGTGTTCTTGGTGAGAGTCACTTTCTCTTATTTTGTGAGAGAAATGGTAAAATGATTACTGACACCACCATGGAAACCAAAGCGAGCCCCCCTGACAGGTTCGAGGTCATCTGTCCTGAGCCCAGAGGCTCAGGGCGGAGGGGACAGCCAAGGCCACCAAAAACACTGACCGCCAGCGGAAGAGGGTGCGGCGTGGGCACTCAGTCAAAGGTGGAGAAGCAACACGCTGTGGAAACTCTTCTTACAGCCCTTCTAAGGCCTTGATATAAAAAGACGGGGGCTGGAGGAGAAGCAGGGCAAGCAGACAAATGAACAAGGCACCGCTCCTGCTGGAGGCTGGGGAACGCAGCCCCCGCCCCAGAAACTGACGAGGCCGCTGCACTAACCCCTGGCCGTCCCTGCCCGTGGGCTTCCGAGGCACAGGGGAGGGGCTGCTGGTGTCCCGCGCTTGGGGTTTGCAAGTAGGTACTGTGTGAACAGCAATACTCTACACAGACATCACCAGGCAGTCTGAACAGTCAATCTGTCACTTAAAATCTCTGACTCGCAACTGCCTGGGAGTCCAGTGGTTGGGACTCAGCACTCTCACTGGCGGAGCCTGGGTTCACCCCTGGTTGGGGAACTGAGGCCCCATAAACTGTGCGGGGCAGCCGATAAATAATAATAAACAAAATTAAATCTAAAATAAATAAATAAAATCCCTAACCTAAAAACCGGGGTGGCCTCCAACGAGTATGTCAGAGTCTAGTGCTGGCTCTTGGTGTCAGGGTGATTCCTAAAGCCCAGGTGACATGTCTCAGACAGAAGGTGACAAAGGCCCACGAAACCGTGAGGTCTCTGCCTTTTCTCCACCTCCCAGTCCAAACACTTCTCCCTGAAGCCTCTCCTGAAAATGCCTCTTTGAATGTCCTTTAGCAATTACTCTGGGTCCGGTCCAGTCCCCAGAGTTTGTTTACAAAAGAGTAAGAGTCAGGCTCCCACCCTCGCCCTTAACTGACCTCAGGGCAGGGGAGGGGCTGCAGGTGACCCCAGTCTTAAGCAGTTTCAGCTCAAATGCAGAGTTCAAATAACTAACTTGAGAATTCGGGAGGCTGTATTTCCAATTTTAAAACGGTAAATGTGATTCTAGGTGGGAGAGGCACTGAGAAAACATCAAACCCAAGCTTCTCTGAGTAAATTTTTTAAAAAGCCCCCCAAATTAAAATACTAAATTAATTTCTAGAGGCAAAGTATCATAAAAGCTAGAACTTAACTTACAATCGCATTTGTATTTCCAGCAAGAAGGGAGGACATGGTGATCTACTTTCAAATATTTGTTTAGTCTTTGTTTGCATGTAAACGCAGGACAAGTGATGCCCAAGAAAGGTGGCTGCTGCCCTACTGTGGGATCACTTCCCAACACCCCTGCTGGCCTGGGGGGTGGCCTTTCTCTCAGGGACATCACGCCTTCCTTGATGGATTTCAGCTTTCCACCACTGGGACCCACGTATGACTCTCCTAACTAACCCCCGGGGTTTGAGTTTCTAGGAACCTCCAACCCATTCTCAGGCACTTGGAAGAGATTTCCTCCTCAAGTTCAGACCTGGCCACGCCCTCCCCTGAGTTCACACGGAAGGGGCTGAGAGTGAGCGACTCACCCCCACGGGGAATGTGACCTTGGGAGTCTGGCAGAAACTGCGGTTTCACAAGAAGCTGGAAGTGCAGGGTTTTATCTGAAGCCTGACAGGTTTTAAAACACTGGTTCAACTTAGAAAATTTGGCTATGTGAACCAGAGACCAGACTCTGTATGAAAATCAGCTGTGAGAAGGCATCTGGCCCCCTCTCCAACACAAAGTTCAAAGCTTCCCAACAGAGACAGCCCTCTGGGGGCCCTGGTGTGGCTGCTCCCCAGACCCCCAGAGGCCGAGGCCCACAGGAGACAATGGAGTCCTTGGAGAGGGACTCCTTCACCCACCGCGTGAGCCTCAAGGTCAGGGGAAAGCCCACCCCTCAAACTGGGAACGAGCGAGTCCCCATGCTGCCCACGTGGCTTCTGGCTCCGGCTCAAGGTGGTGAAAGAGAGGCAAACAGCATTAACGGATGTGTAAACACAATGCTCTCCACTTCCCAGGAGGGCCATTTATCCCGCTGGCTATTTCATCCGGTGTTTATTCTGTTCGATGTATACTTAACGGGGCTTCAGGTCTCATGAAACCTATTACAGAGTGTAAAAACCGCAAGGGAAGTATGTTTAAACAGGACTGTTTGGAGAGCCTCAAAAAATAATAATCCATTCTTTCACATATTAATTCAGAGGATGGGAACTGTGGCTCCACAGTTGGAAGTAGCATCTCCTGGCTCCTTTCGGCCGGGAGGCTGGTCCGGGGCGATCCACGAGGGCAAGTGCACTGTGCGGATCTGACAGGTCGAGTGTCCAGGATGCCGCGCCTGGCATGACCCTAACCAGAGTCATAGGAGGGATAGGTGCCTGGAAGGGACCCACCCGGGGGCCTGCCAAGCGGCCCGGCCTTACCTCCTTCTGCTGCCGCTCTAGCTCCTTCATCCTGATCTCTCGGGCCTCCGCACGAGCTGCGCGCTTCGCCGCCAACCTGGCCTCCGCCTGCAACAGACCCGGAGATTGTGTTAGGAGACGGACCAGTGGCTCCTTTCCAGGCTATGGTCAACCATGATGCTCTGGTTTGGAGGTTACCAAACACATAGTAACAGACTTGTACGTGTTAGAAAGGGCCCAGGAATCACAGTATTTTGAGCAGTCAGGATTGCTCCCTCTGCTAAAGGCCAAGTGGGCTTCACGCGGGCTCATCACAGCAGCCTTATTGCGGCGGTCATGTTACCACACCCAGTTAACAAGTAAGAGACCCAGGGCACAAAGAGGTCAACGCACCCAAGGTCACACAGCCCGTTAAGTGGCAGGACTGGGCGGTCTGCATTCCTCTGAAGGGACAACAGATTAATGCAGGAACAGAAGCATCAGGGTTGGACAAGACCCTGGGGTCACTGGTTCAAGCGCTCCCTTCACAGAGCAGGGAGCAGAGATCTGGAGAGGCTGCCAGACCCATCCAAGGTCATGGTGCCAGGACTCTGCTCCTGTTTCCCAGAACTCCGGTCCAGTCACCCCTCGCTGTTCCCTGCTGCCCCCAGGCTCAGTACCCCCAGGCTCAGCACCGGAGCCTGGGCAAGCCTCACCTTCTCTCAGAGCATCTCAGACCAGAGCTGAGTGGTTCTAGCTGTTTAGAAAGGTTACAATAAAACAAAACCCACCTCCATTTAACTACTTGTCAGCTTGCAGCTGATTTGCCGTATTCTATTTAAAAGCTTTCCAAAATGCCTGACCTAGACTATCCAGTGCCGTGGGACCTGGCACTTGAGCCCTGTTTCCTGTTCTACAAATCTTATTCATTGAGCTTATTCACTGCTGCAGGTGATAAACCCGCCCAGTGAGTGAAATGGTGCAAAGGTGCCAGGATCCAGGTTTCCTGCTGTTAAAACAAATCCATTTTCCTTTCCACTTAAATTTTTATGGGAATTCACTTGTAATGCTTCCAACAGTTCTGACCCAGCTTTCACTGTTCCTTAGATCATCCTAAAATGAGGCCACTGAGACGGCCGGCATGCTTCTGGTGTCGTCACTGCGGGTGGCTAGCTGTGAGGTGGCCTGAGTCCTATTGTCCAATTTCTCCCTGAGGGCGGGGCACCCTGCACCCCAGGCTCCCATCAGGATGGTGGGTCCTGACGTGAAGGATGCCCCTCACTTCCACCCTATAATTATACTGCATGTGTGTGTGTTAGGCGCTCAGCTGTGTCTGACTCTCTGCGACCCCATGGACTGCAGCCCGCCAGGCTCCTCTGTCCATGGGATTCTCCAGGCAAGAATACTGGAGTGGACTGCCATTTCCTTCTCCACATTATATTGCATAGCACTACAAATTCATCTTCTTTCTAAATTCTAATCTAAGTTGAAAACTGACTTTAATTACCCTGCCACAGATCGGCTGGCTAATGTCTTTACAATGAATTTATTCTATAACCTGCTTTGTTCATGTGGTTTCTTGATGAACCAACCCAAGCCTGAGTCCTTCAAATCAATGGTGTCAAAAATCACAGCTGCATCAGAACTTTGATACCTCATTGCCATTTTCAGTTTTCTAAACCATGTTACACTGCATGATGAGACAACTTGGAGGGCCGGGGTGTCATGTGGTGGGGGGAAGGATGAGGGGGAGGTCCAACAGACTGACACCTGTCCACAGACAGTCCGGACAGCCCCATGGACGGGCCAGCAAGAGATATGCATGCACCCTGAGTGCAGCGGCCTCCGCAGTCCTGCCTGGGGAGCCATGAGCTCCAGATTTGTTGGCTCAGGATCTACGCCAGTGGAGAACCAGGCAGTCAGAGCCCATCAACTTGGGAGGAGGGCAGTTGGGAAAAGAGAAGGGAGGGCAAGGAGGAAGAGAAGGGGGATGAGGAGTGAGGATGTAAGAAAGAGGCCAGGGGCTGGAGAAGGACGGGCTCCCGGCGGGGGGCAGAGAGAGAGGCGAGTGGTCCCCAGGTGGTCCCCGAGATGCCCATCACCGGTGTACACGCTCCACACACTCCTCGCCCCCGAGTGTAGGCAGAGTGCGTCCGACGGGTGTCACTCTGGGACTGGGTTCCATCACACTGCAGAGACAAATGCCCTGATGAGCAAGGTCCCCTCATCTGCTGACTTGAGTTCTGGGTGGGCCTGACGTCACCAGGGGAGGCCTGGAAAAGTGGGTCTAGAGGTCAGTCTCCTGCCCGTGAGGGGCCACGCGACAAGGAGTGTGGGGGCCTCTGAGAGCTGAGAGCAGCCCCAGCGGACGGAAACACTGCACCCCGGTCCCACACCAGCAGGACGAGAATACCACCAACGCCCATGGGAGCTGGGGCTCAGGACCCTGCGCTCCAGAAAGGACACAGATCAGCCAACACCCTGACTGCAGCCTGTTTGAGACCCCAAGCAGAGGACCAGACTCCCGACCCTCGGAATCTGTGAGCTGATAAACATGTGCTGTTCCAGGCTGCCATGTCTGTGGGCATTTGTTACATAGCAGCGGAGAACCGACCCGAGGGGGTGAGGCCTGCTCACACAGCGTGGGAGCCTCCGCAATCCGAGGGAGCCCGAGCTTGGTCACCCACCTCCTCCCCAGCCTGTCTGTCCTGCCCCGCTTGGGACAGAAGCAATTGATTCTCAAAGGGACCTGTCTGAGCAGGTAGCTCCTGCCTCCTGGGGTGACCTCCCCACCAGACTGGCAGGTCTCCCAAATCAAGGCCCATCATCAGACCCCAGGTACTCTGGTGGGTCACCCTTCACCCAGGAAAGAACCCGCCCCCTCTCTGGTCCTTACGTCCATCCAGCCTGTCTGTCCTGTCCATGATCTGAGGGACCTGGGCCTGTGTTGCTAAAGGGACCACATGGATGAACCAAGTCCCAGGACAAACTTCCTGCGAGGATACGAGCTAGTCAACCTTGCGGACAGATGAACACGGCCACGCTTCACCTTAGATCAGAAGGCGGGAGGGAGGGAGAGGGTTCAGCACAGTTTCAAATGCTTGCAGTCACCACCGTGCGAAGTCCCTTCATCTCATGGATTCTGACATGACTCATACGTGGAGAACAGGCTCTCATGACACAGGAAGTGGTAACAACCATGCTTGCCTCTGGGACTCTGGCTAGAAGCTGACGGATACACAAGCCAACATTTTAAGTGGTGCAGAACCTACGCACAGCCAACTTCACCAGCACAAGACTAGTACCAGCAGAACAACCCCAACACAGCCCGAGTTGCCTGAAAGAAAACCACACAGATCCCTCATAACCCAGTGTATCCTAAAACACTGATGTTGCCAAGAACACAAAACAGACACAGAGCATCCCAAACACCCACCATTCAGGACAGCAGCAGAGGAAATCCTCGCTAAGATCAAGTTGTCCAGTGAACCAAAAAGTACCAACTAGCGATGGTCCACCCTGGTGACCTACAGGCATGAGGTCACTCACCCAGCGTTTCCAGGGGGGCCCAGCCCTGCCCTCTAGCTGGCAACCATCGGGTAGCAGTTCCAGGGGTCAGTGTGCCCCCAGCCAGAGCCTCCATGGTGCAGGACAAATCCACTGCAGACTGACAGTTTGTAAAATATCAATTCACACACCTGGGGTCATAAACACAGCGGACTGTTCAAGTTTCCTAATGCACTTTTACTTTCTGCCCCGTGCCTGTAGGGGACTGACTGCAGGATTGTCGCCACTACCAGCCCAGGCCACACAGCACTGCTGAGCCAGCCAGGGAAGGGCTTTCACAATGCAGGCTGGGGGCCGTCTCAGGGGTGGACACAAAGCAATCGGGGGGCTGTGGACAAGTGACCAGCACTACAGTGCGTGAGAAAAAAAATGTGCTGGGCTGCTCTGGAGGAGAACACAACCCATCCGAGGATCAGCAGCCCTGAGCCCAGCCTGAGGAGCAAAGAGGAGAAAGCTGGGGCGCGGGGGCCGGTGGCGAGGCGCCAGGACGGGGCTGGGTGGGTGGGGGGGTCCCCAGGGATCGGGCGTCCCCCGCAGCTGCAGCCCTGGTGTCTGGAACCTTATCTCCAGGAAGGAATGCAGAAGCACTGACAGGTTTGAAGGAGAAGGAACACAGTGGGGTCTGACTTCTGCTTTAGAAACAGCGCTCTGGATGAGGGTGGGGAGCCAAGGGGTGGGGGCGGTGGGAGGAGGGGCTTGAGACCCTGGAGGCGAGGAGGGGACACTTCCGGTCAGGGAGCCTGTGAGAATGAACCACGCGCCAAGGATGATGCTGAGCCGAGAGGGGAGAGGATTCCGGAAGGAGGTCAGGAGCCTGAGGCCCCAAGGAGGCCCCGAGGCCCCGGGAACCAGAGAGCTGGGGATGAGAGCCCAGACCCCAGACCCACGCAGCATGCCCACCCAAACTCACACAGTCTGTGGATGCCCCTGGCCTTGAAGACGGCTTATTTCTCCACCTTGACCCCCTGCCCACCCAGCTCCCAACCTCACAGGAGATGATGACCAAGGCCGAAGGGGAAGGATGGAGAGGGGCTGACAGACCCACGGAATTCAGAGTACAAGCCACGACCTTCGCAGGGCTCTGGAACAAAGCACTCGTACACACCGCAATAATGCAAATGGACACCAACGAGGACCCACTGTGCCTGCCGTACAAGGAGCTCTGCTCAGAGTCATGAGGCAGCCTGGATGGGAGGGGAGTTTGGGGGGGATGGACATGTGTACACGCGTGGCTGCGTCCCTGGGCTGTCCCCCTGGGACTATCACAACATTGTTCATCGGCTATGTGAAGGAAAGTCGCTCAGTTGTGTCCAACTCTTTGAGACCCCATGGACCGTAGCCTATCAGGCTCCTCCATCCATGGGATTTTCCAGGCAAGAGTACTGGCATGAGTTGCCATTTCCTTTTCCAGGGGATCTTCCTGACTCAGGGATCGAACCCAGGTCTCCCACATTTCGGGCAAACGCTTTACCGTCTGAGCCGCTAGGGGAGCCACTGGCTATGTTCCAATACAAAATAAAAATTTAAACACACATAGAAAAGCAATCAGACAAAACCTCTAA